TATTATTTATGCACTTAAACCTTCCCTGTCGTCCTGCAGAAAGAGAAAATAATAAAACTATAATATGTATGTCTTACACCAACTTGTATTCATGTCCACATCAGGGTCTTTGCAACTTGACGTTTCCTCTTCCTGGAATGCTCTTCCCACAGTTCTTCACATATTGGCTTTTTCTCATCGCTTAGGTCTCAGTTCAAATGTTACCCCCAGGAAGGCCTCCTGTCTCCTTATTCTAACAGAGCAGTCCTCCCCCACCCTGGTCACTGTCCTTACCACTTCTAGACTGCTGCTTTGAAGGACAACGGCCCCCAAGCCAAAAACAGGACCTGCATGGACTCCAGATCCATTTCAATACTTTCAGGGCATTTTCCAACCCTCCTCTTCCCACATGGAATCAGCCAGGATGTCCCAAAGAACTTTCACACTTGTACCTCTGAGCTTACCCAATGACTCCATGTCCAGCCCTCACTTCAGGAGGGCAGTCTGGCCAGCAGATGGCTCCAGCTGGCTAGGACAATACTTCTGTCACAGGAACACGCAAGATTGGGCAGCCAGAATGGTGCCGCCACATTGATTTGTTAGTATAAACTCAGGTCCCACACACCCTGGGGGTAGCACTGCCCCTTCATAGCACTTACACAGTCTGAAAAGACACTGCTTATTAGTTCATTTGTTTATTTTCTGAGCGCTGCCCCACCCACCACCAGTAGAATATAAGCTCTGTAAAGAGGGTGCCCCTCGCTAACTTGTTCACCATTGGATATTCAATGCCAAAACAGTTCCTGGAACAGAAGGTATTCATATCTGTGTAAGATACCGGGCTATAAGGACAATGGACACATTCCAGCTTCTGTTTACTGCTTGTTTGCTAACCGCAAGGCATTATGAGTACATAATGGGATGCAGAGGAAAAAGGCAAAGAACAGGGAAACCGGAGTCTCTCAGCTAGGACCCAGAACAGGTTAGAGCCTATCAGGGGTAGGATGAAGTAAGAATCACTGTAGGGGCGGGTGCATGACCAGTGTGTAAACAACTGAGTTATAAAAAGGGGGCTAACACACGAAGGAGGGTCCCTGCCCAGAGAAGAGGCCACTGCGCTGGCACTCTGGGGGCTCAGACCCTAGCTCGAGGTAGACAATAAAACTCTTTTTGATAATTACAGCCTCGGTGACTATGTCTCTCTGTCCTGCGGCCCTGTGAATCTCAAATATAACATCTGTTGATCAGATGAATTATTGTATGAGGTGGTAGATTTGATTACAGGCCTCTCTCTTCCTCTAGGCTGTAAGCTCTCAGGACAAAGGATTCTGACTTATTCATCCAGGTCTTCATACTGGTGTAGTGCTTGCCATAGAAGAAGGCATTGAAATCAATATCTTGGAATGCATAAATAAATGAATGAACATATGTTATCTATGCTAGAAGTTTTTACTCTTACATTCACATTAGAATAACCTGGGGTTCCTGTTTCTGAATACTCTCAAAAAAAAAAAAAAAAAAAAAGAATAACCTGGGGACCTTTTAAAAACTGCAATGCCCCATGGCCGGGCGCGGTGGCTCACGCTTGTAATCCTAGCACTCTGAGAGGCCGAGGTGGGCGGATCGCTCAAGGTCAGGAGTTCGAAACCAGCCTGAGCAAGAGTGAGACCCCTGTCTCTACTATAAATAGAAAGAAATTAATTGGCCAACTAATATATATAGGAAAAAATTAGCTGGGCATGGTGGCGCATGCCTGTAGTCCCAGCTACTTGGGAGGCTGAGGCAGTAGGATCTCTTGAGCCCAGGAGCTTGAGGTTGCTGTGAGCTAGGCTGACGCCACGGCACTCGTTCTAGCCTGGGCAACAAAGTGAGACTCTGTCTCAAAAAAAAATAATAATAATAATAAATAAATAAAAACTTCAACACCCAAGACCAATTGAACCAGAATCTCTGGGGGTGCGTCCCAGGCATGAGTATAACTAAAGCTCTTTAGGCAATTCCATTGCACAACCACAGTGCAGAATAGTGTGACCAGCTACCTGGGTTTATTCGGGATTGAGGCATCTTCCAGAATGCAGGAATTTCAGTGCTGAAACCGCCACTGTACTAGGAAAACCAAGATGGTTTGTCACCCTGGTTGAGAGCCACTGATCCAAACTGTCGCTCAGGGCCATTCTGAGTGATGTATTTTCAATTTCTGAAAAGTCAAGACTCATTGGCTTCGTGCTTTCACTTGACACTTCGCTAATTACATCCCGGCCTGCAGCTCGCCTTGCCCTCAGCGCCTGCTTCCTGCTATGTGTTCTCGTTCAGGTGCGCGCTGCTGTTATTGACTTGGGTGACATACATATTTGTGACACACAAATGGCAAAGGGAGTGATTAAACCATTCCAGCAAGTCAGTGCCCGTGCAATGGACCTGCTAAAGCAGCAGAAGAAAGTCTAAAGTGCTACCTTTCCAAGTGCCATTTCCAGGAGCCTTCACCTCTTTTTCTCTCCAAATTGATGGCAGTCCATTGTGACACATTTCTATTTATCACTGTGTATGCCAGTTACCTTGGTGCGAGTGTACAGTCCCTATTGTTATCTGGGGAGATAATAATTTTCTTAATGGAAAATTCCCTGTGAAAACTGAATTAAAATTCATCATTCCAAACACTCATCAATTGACCCCAAGTACGTGGTTAGTACTGAACCCGTTGATTCCGGTGTAGACACCAGAATCAGAAATGCTCTTCGCCCTGTGAAGGGAACACCGCACCACAGCTCTCTAAGGCCTTGTCATTCAAAGCGTGGTCCCAGATCTGCAGCGGCCGCCTCACCCGGGAGCTCGTTGGAACTGCGGAGCCTCAGGCCCCACCCCAGAGCTGCTGACTCAGAACATCTGGAGTTAGAAGCCAAGAATGTGTGCTTTTAAAAGTTCCCCAGGTTATACTTACGCATGCTCAAATTTGAGAAGTGCTCATCTAGCTTACTCTGTGCCTGATTCTTAATGTCGGTACCTCAGAGCCCAGAGGGAAGAGGCGAAGGTAAGCGGGAAAGGAGGTATACAGCGCAGTGGTTCCCAGCTGCACATTGGAAACACCTGGAGAGCTTTAAAATTGCCGGTGCCTGGATCCCAGCCCAAGCAGGATGATTTCATTAGTATGGGGAGCACCTGAGCAGTGCTCCCCAGGGGATTCCAACGTGCATGAAAGTTTGAGTCACTGATACCGCTTAATCACCAGGAACCCTGCCCCCACCACATCGCCCCCGGCCTCCTCTGCTGCTGGACGTGTTTGCTATCCCTCCTTCCTTCCCGAACATCAGGAGCAGCAGCGATGGAAGGAGGGAGGGGCTCACTGGGGCTGCATCTCCCCTCTGCCATGAAGAACACTTGTTCCCTTCTATCTTCTGTTAGGAGCTGTTTGACCTGTGTTCACTCCAACCTCTCAGGTCTCTTCATCTGTCCGAGGGAGACAGTAAGACCCAATGCCCCGGACTATTTGGGACATTGCATAAGACAACACCGGAAGTGCCCGGTACTTTGGCAAGTTAGGTGCTGAGAAACTCTGTGCAAGGAAGAGTGCTGTCTCTCTGCCCTTCTCCCCTGCTGGTGGCACGTCCATTATGTTTGGCAAAGTTGTCTCTTCCTCCGTGCACAAAGGGTGTTGGCGAATTGTGAAAAACCTATTTATGTGTGAATTCACTCATATGATCTCATCGCAGTCTCACAACACTTCGGCCATGCAAATGGGATAATCTTGGTGTCCCCATTTCACAGACAATAAAACAGTGGCGTAGAGGATTCCAAGTCTGACACAGTCACAAAGTGGCAGACTCAGATCCCCTGACTGTCACCCAGTGTTCTCCCGACCCACTGTGCTGCCTCCACGTTCAGCTTCACGTCCAGCCACCTGGAAGGTGGCATCTACGGACAGGACGCTTGCATCTAGACCAGCTCTGTCCCGGCAGAACTTCCCGCGATGATGGAGATGTGCTCTATCTCTGCTCTCCACTTCGACAGCCACTAGCCACATGTGACGACTGAGCACTTGAAATGCAGCTAGTGTGACTGAGGAATTCAAGTTATAATTTGATTTAATGTTAATTTAAATACCCACATGCGAACAGCACAGATCTAGAGACAGGCTGGAGAATAATGGGAAACCGGGAGATCGTTCCAATGGTTTCTACTCACAAATCAAAGCAAAGCTAAGCCACTTGCCTGCCTTTTTCTTCAGAGATCTTCTGAGCTCTTTTGTAGTAGAGGGACCAGTTGGCCCACTAGTTGATGACAGCACCACGCCCATGCAAAACGCGATTTGAATGATGCCTTGACAACATCGATCGGCCAGCAGAAGCAGGCTGCCTTATACAGCAGTGCTTCTCGAACGTTAGTGTGCACAGATCAACTGGGATCTAGCTTGTTAAAATACGGACTCTGGTTTAGCAGGTCCAGGACGGGGCCTGAGGTCTGCATTTCTAACAGGTGCCCAGGGGGCGCTGCTGCCCTGTGGACCCCACCTGAACCAACCAGGCTGTAGAGCAGTGGTTCTCAACAGGCTGATTTCGCCTCCCTTCATCCTGGGGGCATTTGGCAATGTCTGGAGACATTTTTAATTGTCATGTCCACGAGGATGGGGGTGGCAGGGGCTACTGGCATCTACTGGGTTGAGTCCAGGTACCCTAGTAATAATCTACAATGTACTTGTATGAGTGTGTCAAAATATCACATGCACCCCATAAATATGTACAATCATGTATTAAAAAAGCATGGGGTTTCAAAGATCTTCTTTTTAAAAAATTCTAAAACATAGTAATAATAGTAATTATTATCTAAAATGTACAGGAGAGCCCCCAAGACAATTATCTTGCCCCAAAATGTCAATAGTGCCAAGTCTGAGAGACTCTCCTGTCTAGCCGAGTCCGCTCTGCAGGAAGAGGAGGTCAGGGGCAGAGTGATGGAGTGAGTCTTCTGGGTATAATAACTGACCATTGTTTTCTCTCTTCCGTTCTTGTCTCCCATTTGTCTGCACACAGGAGCCAATGCCTCGGCCCCAGACCAACTGAGCCTAGCTTTAGCCTGGAACAGAGTCGACATCGCTCGCAGCCAGATCTTTATTTATGGGCAACAGTGGCCGGTAGAGTATACGTTGTCACCCCTGAAAGCCCTCTGGCTTGGGCAAGGGTATTTGTTTAAGAAGCATCTGAGATTGGCTCAGGGGAAACTACTACCTTTTCTTTAGGATGGAAAATGTTTCTTTGCAGCACGGCCCCTCACCTGGGCTCCCTTTCTCATCGTTAGGAAAACACTGCCACCTAGTGGAAGTTACAACTAATCACAGCTCCAAACATTGCGAACATTTCCATCTCTATGAGTGGGGCCCTTAATAGCAATTTTCAGTTGCAAATGATGCTGTTTCTTTTTAATACATCTGAAAAAAAAAAGGCCAAGTTGTATTGATTAAAATTAAGGAAGGAGTGGAATTTGCGGTTTGTTTCTGATTGTCTTTAAAACGGGGACAAAAGGAAGCGTTCGCTGCCCAAGTGGTGGCACCCCCTGCTGGTTTATGGCTGTGTCGCACCTCAGGATGCAGAATTAGCAGGCTTCCCTCTGCAAGTGCCATATGTCCTGGTGGCTGAGCACAGGTCCTCCCTGTTCGCAAAGAACAACACAAGGGAACCAATGCTTTATATAACTGTTCTGGGTTCGTTTCCCTCAATTGCCCCTAGAAAAAACAAAAACTTGGGGAATCAGCCAGTGGGCGGTGTATGCACGCATCCACAGGAGGCAGCCTGAAATTTGATTTCTGTGCCTGGAATCACACCACACATGGGCAGGTCTTTTTTAACCCTTCTTTTCCCACAGAGCTTGGCATTGAGCACCTGTCTTCATTTAGTGCGAGTGGATTGTTAGCATGGAAAAATTTGTCAGAGTCTAGACACTATGAAGTTTTTGTGAAAGGAATTAAACAGAAATCCTAGCCGGTGGCAATTCCAGAAAGTAGGCTGTTCTTTTCTTAGTTAAGTGACACCATCTTGTCGCGTGCTCTTGCCCACGTCCGCACAGAGACCCAGCATCAACTTAGATCCCTCTTCTCAAGTCAGCCAAGGGTCTCATTCAGAGCCTAAGCATGCTGAAAATGAAGACAGCAAATTCCCTGGTGTTGCAGAAGTTTGGTCAGAGAATTTTGAGGGGAAAACCTTCTAAACCCTTGCACTTTCTCAGGATCTAGTATAAGAAAGAGACCCAGGGAAGAAATAGCTTTTGGAACTAGAAATCTTTCACTTCTATTTGCAAAGACAGGCCCCAAAATACAGGAAAGGCTGTGGCTGTCCCAAAAGCAGAGCTGTGAACAGTCTTGCTAGCATGTTCTTGGACGTGCTGAAGGCTTACCAGATGTCAAAGGCATCCCTTCCTAAGCTGTTCAGGTGAATGCCAAAGAACTGCATCCCAAGACCCCAGGGCAGACTAACTCAGTAACTTGATTTGCAGGTGGGGTCTCTGGAGCAAGCCATGTTGGATGCCTTAGTTCTGGACAGAGTGGATTTTGTGAAATTACTCATAGAAAATGGAGTAAGCATGCACCGTTTTCTCACCATCTCCAGACTAGAGGAATTGTACAATACGGTAGGGCCAAACTAAGGCACTTTTTATTTTCTCTGTTTTTTGTTTTGCCTTCTCCTGCCCCCACATGCCTGTGAGTGTCTTCCCTGATCCCTTCCAAATGCATGGATCATTCTTCACAAATACTCCCTTAGACGTACGTAGACGACAAACACCAAGTCACCAAGATTCCGCTTGTTTTAGCTGCTCAGTTGTCAGCATCTAAGGCAAAAAGTTATGTGAAAACTTAAGGGTACTGTCCTCATATTCTTACATAAAACCACAAAGGCTCTGGAAATTAGAACATGGTTTATTCTGTAAACCCAGAGGGTGTTTGAGGCAATTAGCAGAGGAGGATTGATTTAAGTCCAAGCATCAAAAAGGCCAATTAAGTACCCTGCACCATTTTGTTACCCTCACAGCTATGAAGTTTATCCTTTTTCCACAATAATGGAATAAAATATAAAATATCTTCTTGTTTGGAATCACTCAAAAACTTTTTTCTTTTTAGTTTTGTAATGATTCGCTAATGTACTTATAAGGGATACCAACAAGTAATCATAGGTGAAACTACTGTTTTTGAAGTTGCTGAGAGGATTCAATAAGTTAAGCGAATTGGCTCTGAGCTGACACTAAAATCCAATGAAGTTTGAAGAGCAGACATTGTTTTCCTCATTTAACAGACAAATTGAGGCTGTCTTAGTCCATTTGTGCTACCATGACAAAATATCTGAGTCTGGCAAATTTACAGACAACCAAAATTTATTTCTCACAGTTCTGGAGGCTGGGAAGTCTAAGATCAATGTACCAGCAGGTTCAGTGTCTGGTAAAGGCTGCCTTTTGCTTCCAAAATGAAACCTTGTATTTGCATCTGCCAGAGGGGACAAATGCTGTGTCCTCACGTAGCAGAAGGGATGGAAGGACAAAAGGGCCCCACCTCTTAAAGGCCCCACCTCTTAGCACGATTGCATTGAAGATTAAGTTTCAATGTGACTTTTTTGTAGGGGACACAAACATGCAAACCATAGGAGAGGCCAAGGTGAGTTAGTTTGTTCAAGGTCAAAAAAATCCTAAGAAAAAAGCCAATACTGAACATAGACTCCTGTCTCAGAGGTGATTTTTCCCATTTGCCACAATGCCTGTCCCACCATGCACAGCACAAACTGGGATGGAGCTTATTACCTGTCCCCAGACAGTGCAAGTTTTAGATGGTGCCACCCTGGCTCTAGCTCATTCCCACTGCAGGAAGTAGAAAACAGGTTATCAGAGTGGCTCCAGGTTTCTGTTTTCTCTGCAGTTTTTTCTTGGTTCAGCATATTGAGATTTTCAGTAAGAATAATAGGGTTTTCATTTAAAAATAAAATAAGGCAGAGTCGAGTGGCACATCAATTAGAGAATCAAGGGAGTAGAGTGATTTCTTCCAAAATTCCAAAGATTTGAAAAGAAAGGAAAGAAGTAGGAAAGTTCTAGACTGAGAAAGGCTGGTAGATTTCATCACTCCAATCAACTGGTGGTGGCACTTGAAATACTCTGTAGACAAGGGTTACAGGACAGTGAGTGGCCTCAGTAATATTATATATTATTATATGTTTTATATATCATATGTAATAATAATAATACCTAACATTATTGAGTGCTAAGTACTGTTTTAATAGATTTATAAACATTGTATCATCTAACAGCCACAACCACCCCATCAGATAAAGTGGTATCATTATTCCCATTTTAGAGATGATGAAAACTGAGTCACAGTTATGCAGCTTGCCCATATTCAGAGCTTGTCAGCAGCAGAGCGAGGTTTGTCTAGCATTCCTATCCCTGAAAGACGATAGAATGGCAACTTATTTCACTTTATTCCTCCCTCAAGCAAGCATACATCTTTTCTCCAAGTCTCTCTTTTTTCCCAAACAGCCTGTGGCTTTTTCTTCAAATCAAGTTTCAGCAAACTGTCACCCAAATCCAGCCCACTGCCTGTTTCTGTATAGCCTACAAGCTAAGAATGTTTGCTTTTTTTTGTTATTTTCACATATTTTAATGGTTGCAACAATGAAAATAAGAATAATATTCTATGACATATTAAAATTGTATGGAATTTGACTTTCTATGCCCATAAACAAAGTTATGTTGAGTCATAGCCAAGCTCATTTGTTTACAGATCACCTGTGGCTGCTTTCACATGACAACAACAGGGTTGAACAGTTTCAATAAAGACTGACCCACAAAGTCTAAAATATTTAGTATCCGGCCTTTTCATAGAAAATGTTGGCCAGCCCTTTTTAGACAATTGCTCATTCATTATGGGTAACAAACAAGTAGCAATGGCAAAGTGCCAAAGTGTATCTCCAATGCAGTAAATGGGCCCCTTTGTTTCCCCCCACTGCAAAACTAGCTCGGGTAGGCATGTTTGGGCCCAGCTGTCAACAAGATTGACAACCTCCCTTGCAAAGTTTAAACCTAGAACTGCAAATGCATTTTCTTGGAGAAACACAATCCCAAAATCCGCCGGTGTGTGCGTTTAGAAAAGACAGGTACAACTGAGCAACTAGAACAAGGTCCATCTTAATGATCTGCCCTCCTCCAGCCAGAACCCTTCCTTCCAGATCCTTCTTGCCTTGCCAGTTAGAGCCCCTGACTAGCAAAACCGTTTGATTCTTCTCTATTGTTTTCAGAGACATGGGCCCTCAAACACATTGTACCACTTGGTCAGGGATGTCAAAAAGGTAAGAACCCTCTCGACCGAAGGTCAGAGGCCACGTCTTCATTGCTTCCTGTGATTAGAAAATGCTTCTGTTTTGCATGAGCTGCCAGAGTATTCCTGTCCCTGCCAGACGCCCGTCATTTCAGAACAGTGTGTGCGTGTGTCTTTTAACTCTGACACCTCCGCTTATGATGCAGCTGTGGTGCTATCTCCGGTCGCCGTGGTTTTAGATGCTTTCGTTGGACATAATGCTTTTGGGTCGTGGAACCCTAGGCTTTCCTCCGTGCCTGGTGGATTTATGCCATTACCTGTATTTTTCCATATGCCCCTCACTGCTTGGGGAGCTGGTTTCCATGCTGCCTGGCTGACCATAAAAGGTATCTCCATTTGCTAGCTCTTGATACAAGGTCACATCTAGCATTACGTAGAGTGTAGTAAGCATAGCTCCCAAAGTTTCAGAAAACAGAGAACTAAAACACATACATGCATTCCACTTTTCTAACACTCTATTTTTTCCACAATATTTTTTCACACTCATCATCTCATCTAATGTGGGGGAAAAAAACTGGTAGGGATGGATCAGGTAGAATTATTCTCCTTTGCAGATGAGGAGGCTGAAATACAAGGAAGTGAGAACTATATTAGGTGGTTAGTGAGGAGCTAGGATTAGAGCTCAGTTTCTTTGATTAATAATAATAAAATAATAGCTATGAGTTAGTGATGACGAGGTGCATGCATAGCATTGATAGAAGCTTTAGATGCATCTTAACTCATTTAATCCCCACAATAATTCTATGAAGTCGAATTAGTTTATTATCATTACATAGTATTATTCCCATTTAAAGATGAGAAGAATGAGGCACAGAGAGATTATGTTCAATCTTAGCCAAGTGATTGTTCCTTTGCCCCATATAATCTCCTTCAGAGGTAGCTTGGGTTCCGAACTCTTCAATCCATCCCAAAAAGTGATGTTTTAACACCAAAGGATAAAATAAATGATGGCATTTACTCTACCCCATAAGTATGTGCCTGCACTCACATGCACATATATACCACTATCGCCTATTTGTAGCAATTCTTCACCAAAATCCACAGAACATACTCACAAAGTGAAATCTACAAAGTGAGGTCAAAAATAGAGCATAATTTTTTCATCTCATAGGCAGTCATTGGCTAGAATTCACCTTTAGGTGTCCTGTGGCTAGCTGTGTTTTTATTTTTCCTTCAAAAGGCCAAGCAAAGGCCCTGGGGCTGCTAATAATGTACCTATTAACCTGCTGGACTTTTGCTAAGAATGAATAAAGGATATAAAAATAAAAACAAAAAAGCCCCCAAAATCTCCCTCCTTTGGCCCTTGCAATTTTCCTCCCATCTCCACACAGCCCTAATGAAGGATTTTTCATCTGTAAGTGACACCTATAGTTCTTTCAAAGCATGGGAAACAGGCACTGTGCAGTCTGTACTCCCAATTCAACAACCATTTTACTAAGACCATGTCTTTCACTGGTCTACCCCTCCCAAGCCATAGTACTAGATCTGCCCTCCACAAACTCATTTCTCTTCCCTTCAGGTCTTCCAGTTTTGTTGAATTCATCCTGGCTTAAAATTGCCTGGAGGCTAAACTCAGAAGGTTAGCTGTAGACACATCCAATGTGTATTCTTCAAATATCTTTGCCAAGATATTTGTTACTCATGTTCAATAATCATTGAACATGAATCATTTGAACATGTTACTCATGTTCAAAATGATTTGAGTTTCTCTAAAATATCAAATAAGGTACTATCCCCCTCACCTTAAGCCAATATGTGTCCCTAAAGGAATTGTGAGGCTTTCTGAAGAAATAGCTATGCCTTTGTCCATCAACCCCAGCTATCAGCCAATCCAAATCTTTAAACAAAGTCATTCATCCAACCCACCACTTAGTCTCCCAGCAATAATGTCTTGCTGGATTTTCAATGGGATTTTTGCAGTTAGATTTTGCTGAGCATAAGTAATCAAAATCCCTCTTATTACACTCTTTTCCCCATAGGACTCTGCTTTGCAATATTATTTTCTCTTTTTGGAAATCTCTTGGGCTGCCTCTTGCATTTGCTCACATCACTTGTATTATTGGAAGGCATGTAAAGTGTCCTTAGGGTAGGGGTTTTCTTAGCTTCTTAGCTAAAGATGTACATCAAAAATAATATAGACTAACAAGAAAAAATAGGATGGTAAGAATTTGGGAGGGAGAAGGATTAATGAAGAGCAGCTTTATTTTTTTTCTTTTAAGTATGATCCAAATATTGAAGGAAGAAAATAATTATATGAGTATGTACTTACTCTCCAATTTAGTAACTGGAAAAATGATAATAAATCACCAAGCATAGTACTGAACTAGCCTAGGAATGATTTATTCTTTTACCTGGGAAAAGAGACTGCCAATAAGACAGGGAAAAGCAGAGAACCAATGTTTAGTTTCTTCCCCTGGGGAGAAGTAGGAGCAAGAAATGCAGATTCCATGTATTTCCATGGTCAAGGTGAGGGTCTGACTGTTGGAGAGAGAGAGAGAGAATAACAATGGTAGTCAAAGGAGCGCAAGTGTCTACATTTTATGTTACATGAATGATGGGAGCTGAAAATGAAGTCTTCTGTTATATTTTTTTAAGTGCATAAGGGAGAAATTGTCATTGGCGCACAACTTTCTCAGATGATTCCAGGAATTTAGGAAAATAAGATACTAAAGACTACAAAAACTAGGGCTAAAATGCTCAGAAAATCTTGGGAAGTTTAAGCAATTTTCAAAATTAAGGAACATAATAATAATTAACATGTGCTTTCTTTTCTATAATCATAGTGGGAAAAATATATGTGTATATGTACATTTCATCTATGACAAAAATTAACCAGTGAGTTATAAACCCTGATACAAAATGCTGTTCATGAGTTAGGAACACAGTCCTAGACCTTAAATATAGTGTTTGATAATATGTCTGTATAATGAAATGCAAATAACTCTTAAGAATCCAAAGAATGCATTTAGGAATTTATCAGACCATCGTAAGTCAACCAGCATGACATCTCCAAGTTCAACTCTTTTTTGAGACCAACAGAACTGAATGTGGAGAATTGCTCCCAAGCCACTTTCAAAATCTCAAATTATTAATATCAAGGGAACAATCTAAGAGCAACGAGGTAAAAGAGTGGCTATTCAGCATCAATCAGAGATTTAAATTGATATAAGCCAACCCAGTTCCTGGACATATTTTCATGCATAAATCCATTGAATGTACCAATGCTCTTATATTAAACCAAAGTGGCTCAAGTCTGTCTGCTTTTCTGTGAAATATAACCTGCCATTTTAGTAGCTGTCTGCTCAACTTGTGCCTCTGTATGTTCTAAAGTAGTAGTTTTTTCTTTCTTAAATTAAATGTGCTAATACCTCAGATTATCTATACTCTCCACCCCCTAACCAAAGGAGGATATTTGAGTATTATACAGAAGTAGTGGTGAAATGATGATAATTTAAATTTCATTTATATGGGACTTAAGATCCAGAGCTTTGCAGAATGCAAAAAAGAAAAAAAAAGGGCATTTCAGACACACTTTGGCTAAGAAAAGGACATTTTCATAATCCCATCTGCTAAATTCATGCAAATTTGCAAAAAGCATTCTTATTTTTTAAAAGATTGGTTGCCTGGTCTATTACCATGCTAATGGGCCAAACTCTGGGATGAGGCCCTCTTTTCCCCTGAGCTTTCACCAGATGAAGCCCCCACCTGGTGATTACTCATAGCACCTGCAGGCCACTCTCCCTTAGTGAAAAAAGCTGCCCCTGGGGTCCTCTATTTTTCACTCTCTCTCTTGGGAAACCTAATAGCCAGCAATCATTTGACACCTTGCCTATGTCAGAAGGAAACAATCTTGTTTTGAAGGCTTGTTGTAAGTTTCCAAGAAAAAAACAAATATTCCTAAATAGTTGAAATCCAATAGTGATATCATGAACTGACATCTGAAAAACAGAGTTCATTTGGAAGAGCAGATCTAATAAGTGAATTTAAACTATTCTTTTAATTAAAAGAATCAAAAAGCATGGCACGATTAAACCTTAGCTTCAGATTAGTAGTTCATAGCATGAAAAAAAAAGGAGACATTTTCAAGTTGTCAAATTGTATCTTCCCATAGATCCAAGTCTTTCTAGCAAATTATTTGAATCATGTGGCCTACCATGTGTTGTTAAGGCATGAAAAGGGAAATACTAGTTCAGGTTTTACTAATTACCAAAGTCATTGAGGGGTGGGCTGGGGAGGGGTGGGAGGAACTGTAACAGAAACAGCGGGCAGAATGAGTATCTCTCCAGTACCGTTTTGACTTCCAATTTGAAAAGGGCCCAAGCAAAGGAAGACTCCTCCAGAAGGTTTGTGAACATTACCTGTTGGTATGTGAGGTCCTGTTCACCTTCTCTGCTTTTCCCAGAGGAGGAGGATGCAATGAGCACAACAACCCCATCCCCATCTATTCCTTTACCATCCCTCATCTCTGAGAACTGGTCCCACTAACCGAACTCCAGGGGATAACTGGAAGCTACATGAACCTCGGAAGCTCTAGATGGGGTCTTTGGCCAGCAGTCTGGCAGTATAAAAATAAGAGCAGCCTGCCAGTTACTGGTCATCCAATTGGACCTTTAGAAATCAGTAAGACTTTGGAAGTTACTCTGTCCAAACCGCCTATTTTCAGAGCATAAACTGAGGTCCAGAGAAAGGAAATGATCTGTCCAGGGTCACATGGGGCAGAGCCAGAACCACAGTATAGCCCAGCGCTGTTTCCACTGTGGGGTCACGTCACTGGCTATTCTCTACATGAGTATCTGTAAGGTCCCCTCTGCCCAGCAATGCCCATCCTAGGAGAAGCAATGCAAATGCACCATCTGTGACATCTGCAGGTCACGGGCAGAGGTCAAGGCCACTGGCCCAGCACTGGCCCATGCACCGAGGCTGCCATCCCCTCCAGAGCCCACCCAGGACAGTTATTCCAAGAGGTCTAAATTATACCCAATTTTATTCATTGTATGGAAAAAACTATTTCTTCTTTCCCCAAAGCTTTCCATCCTTCCTAGTAAGAAATAAAACTAATTTTCCTTAACTTCTCTGCACTCAAAAGTTCCTGCAGAGAAACAGACACAATCGGCCTTGCAGGCTGAGTTCAAACACATTACTTGTTAAACATTCCCTCCTCCAGATATTGCTTCAGCAAGAGCCTCTGACTCTCTCCTTATCCTCCAATCCTTCAGTTTACCCTGGATTCATTTATATGGCCTGATTACACAGATATATAAAGCAGAGCAGGCAAGTAAACGCTGGTGAGGGAGGAATTCTCACTGGCTTCCGTTGGGTGAGCCCTTTGTGGTCACACAGAACGCAGCCCACTTCCTGGCAGGCCTTGGCTCAAAGTTCTGTAGCACCCAAATGGTCACCAAAACCTTCCTCCTGCTTCAGACCCAACCATACATAAGTCATTCTGAAATAATAAAGCTTTATATGAGATTCCAGAGCCTTCTTTTGCAGTAGATACCCCTAAAAGTCCTTTATGAATAAAGCACTTGCTAAACATGTTTTATTTGCCCCTTCAATTTTTATTTTGAATTTTACTGCTATTATTACTTTCTTGACGATTCCCACTCCTAAAGACACCTCAAAAGCATAAATATTGCCATTTTATACTGGTCTTCAGGCAATATTGATGTCTTGTTCTTAGAATTCAAACTGATGCTCATCCCTAAGTTTCTCAAAACAAAATGCATAGGCATTAGGTTCACTATTACGCACATTTTAAATTTTATTCTTACAAGATTAAAATAGGCACAAATTCATAGACTTGCTCTGATTGCCTTTCCATAGCATCACAATCAATCTTTCAGGGATTTTTCTGAAGCCTGGTATATGAGCATTATAGACCATAAAGGCCATGGAGTTCAACCTCCTTTCACTGGAAAGAAAAGTGTGGCCCTGAGGGACATGGCTGATCCGTGTAGGACAGACAGAAGCTCAGGGCAGCTGACTAGAAGCTGGTGCTCTTCTTCCTGCCTGCCTCAGCATGCCCAGGAAAATAACACAGAGGGCTGAGCACGCTCTGGAGGTCATCCTTACGAGATCCAGACATCTATGACTTGAGGTCAACCCAGGCCAGTCCAGTCTCTTGGGCTCTTCTCATTAAATAACAGCCTTGCCTACCAATCCAGTAGAGCCGGAGGACACAGAAACTGTGGCCTTGTTAACCTGCCCCAAAATAATGGAGAAAAGTAGTTGCATGGGTACTATTTTTAAACTCAGTTTAATTTTTTTGGAAATGGCAATACATGAAAAGTTACTATCTTAAAACTTTGCCTGAGCTCCCTTTTTAAATATTTTATGCCAGCTTTTGCATAAAGAAGTCAGACAATTGGTCTGTCTCTATAGCCTCAGGGAAGCTTAACTTGCTGATTCAGTTAGATTGGCAAAGGAACCTGCAGGGGTGCAGTGGCTCACACCTGTAGTCCCAGTGCTTTGGGAAGCCAAGGTGGGAGGATTGCTTGAAGCTAGGAGCTCAAGACCAACCTAGGCAATATAGGGAAACCCACTGTCTGTACGAAAAAAATTTAGAAAATAGCTAGTGGTTTACTCAGGAGGCTAAGGTGGAAAGATGGCTTGAGCCCTAGAGTTTGAGATTATAATGATCCATGATCTGGCCACTGCACTCCATCCTGGGTGATAGAGCAAGACCCTGTCTCAAAAAGAATGAAAGAAAGATCTTCAACAAAGGATATTTTCAAATGTTGACTGAGGAGGGTAGAGATCATTTTTGTGAAGGGACAAAAGGAACAATCAGGATGTCAGATTGGGTAGGGTTGGGCTCAGGTCAAAGAGGGGAGGGGTTCTGTGTCTCAAAGTGTTCCCACCTCATCTGTGGTACCCTTCACACAGTCCCATTGTGCCTGGCTGGCTCAAATTAGACCCCTGAGCCTGCCATGCACCCCAAGCCAAGGGAGAGGTGGAACCCCACAGGTTAGGGTAGGAGTTAATTCTAAGGACAGCAAGGAAGTCTAAAGAGCAGCAGTGGAATCTCACATGCTTGAGGCTAGTGCTTCAATTGCTTTTCCTCCCTTTACCCCACTGAGAACATCTGAATTCCACATACCGCAAAACATGTATTTCAAGTTGAATTTCCACAGTGAGCTCAGGCTGTGCCAACCAGGGGCGACTAATAGATAGTGACTAGTTTGTTATTGAGAATATAATACTAACTCCCAATGAAGTCAATTAATTTCACTGTTTTATTGGTTCACATTTTCAACAAAAACATTCTGAATGCCTACCATACCCATGGCCCTACAAAAGGCACTGAGAATATAAAGAGAAACAAAAACAATTAAGAAAAATATAAAGCAATCGGTTTAATGATAGAATACGGTAGGCTGCCTCTAACCCCAAACCTCAATACTTTTCAATGGATTTGGCTGACCGCAGAAGAGCTGAGTAAGGATAACTGAAAACCTACCCTCAGGTTAGCAAAAGAACTTAATTTCCAACTGACAGTGATGATCTTTTTACACTATATATGTCCCAGTTCTGCTATGTAACTTAACCATTGCCACCAGAACCTTATTTAGCAGACAAGCGGTCTGACAGACTGTGGGTGTACACCCGAACCACCTGGAGGAGCTAATAAAGAACATAGAGACTGATACATGGGAATAGGTACGACAAGGTCCAGGCCTTGGTACTGTCACCAAGTTCCCCAAGTGATTCTGATGCCACCAAAATTGGAAAACCGCCACTATAGATTATGAGTCTCTTCTGTGGAGTGGCAGAAATCTCACACAGCATCCTGAGTGGGTCCTCCATTAGGGACAAAACTGGGTGAAGTCCCTCATGCCTCTCCAAAATATATCTAAGGACACCAGGCTTCCTACACAGTGTGACGCCCCAGTCATTCATGGTATAGAGCACTCTCCTGCAAGAAGGAACTAAACCAGACCAGGAGAGTTGATTAATCGTTCCCTTTGGAATTCACTGCATAGTCAGAAGTTCCCACAAACGGAACTGATTCTTCCTCGACCTCATAGAGCAAAACTTTCAGAGCTCCTTTTTGAAGTAGAAAGAAGTAATGAGTAAATAATAATAAAAACTTTATTGTTTTTGCATCTATATGTGGCAAGCAGCTAAAAGATATGCCATAACTATAGGTCTTTAAGAAACACTATCCTCTTTGGAAGAAATAAATGAAACATCTCCTTAATTCTAGAAAAAATGAATTTTCTATTGACAAAAGTCTTCTTCTGCTCCTCTCCCACCTGTCTTTAAACACAGGGGATGTTCATATACCACTTCATCCTCACACCCAAAATCCCCTCCCTAGGTACTGCTCTTTTTTTTTTTTTTTTTTTTTTTAGGAAAAAGGTTCCATTTTTAAAAAATTATTAATGGAGGATTTGCATTAAAGGAGACTTGAGCCCTAAGCAGGTCCCAGCTGATGCAGGCCCTGGTAATAACACTCATCTTCTGAAAGAGTCTTCCGTTAGTGAGCGGGAAGAACTAAATGACTGTCAAGAGAACAGCAACAGGACTGAGTCAGAAGCAGAAAAGGGGGCTCGGGGAACATCTGGGGACCCTAGTTTCTAGTGGCGGGGAGTGACAGCATTTGTTATGTCTAGCTCTGTGTTTCTTTCTGCTACACTGGTGTTTTTTTCTCCCCAGCTGAAGACTTGAATAAGTATTTTGATTTTCTGTTATTGCCGACGATTACTGCACCTTCTTATTTAACTTATGTCTTCTTTCCAAGCGAGAATATCCAGGTTTCGGTTGGATCTATTTTAAGGTGAATTAATTAACCAGCATAATAATACATTCATATGTTTCTTTTTTTTCATCATTTTTTTTTTCTCTAAAATAGTTACAGAACACATGAAATAGAACCCCTAGTAAACCGCGTTGTCTTTTGGATTTGTTTGTTTGTTTGTTTCATTCTTCCCGGATAGGGCAACCTGCCCCCAGACTACAGGATCAGCTTGATTGACATCGGCCTGGTGATCGAGTACCTGATGGGCGGGGCTTATCGCTGCAACTACACGCGCAAGCGCTTCCGGACGCTCTACCACAACCTCTTCGGCCCCAAGAGGGTGAGGCTTGCTGCAAATTCCTGGGCGCTCCCTAGGGGGGCTGGGGGTGCGGTTTCTTTGTCTGCGAGAGGGAGACCAGTTGAGAAGGACATAGATACCCTCCCCTCCTCTTCTTGCCTCTTCCGTCAAATCTGTTAAAAAAAAAATTTTTTTTTTTAATTAGAAAAACAAAAACAGAGTGTATGGGGAAAAGAGGAAACTGTTTTTGGTGGGTTTCTTTGTTTTTTTTCACTAGGTCCGATTCAAATCAGAAAATTGCACTGAGAGTGAGCTTAAATAATCAGAGAGTATTAATGAAATTCAAATTAATCGTATTGTTAAGATTATTAAACTCAGCAGTTTTCCAGGTTTTGGGTCTTGGGAATCTATTTATACCTTTAAAAATTGTTGAGAAACCCAAAGAGTGTTTATCTCTGAGAATTCTATCAGTGTTTACCATGTAAGAAATTTAAATTGAGATTCTAAAAATATTTATTCATTTTAAGGTAACCATAAGAATCCCATTAAATGTGAAAATAAATAACATGTTTATGAAAACTATATTTTCAAAAACAAAAAATTAATGATAAGAGTAGTGTTGTTTCACTTTTTTTTTTTTACAAGTTTCTGTAATGTCTGGCTTGATAGAAGACAGCTAGATTCTCCTAATTGGGCAGTCTATTACAAGATGTTTTGAAGTATATGAAGAAAATCTGACCTCACACAAATATGTGACAAATATTATACATATATCAGAAAAAGGAAGGAGTATTTTAGCAATCTTTACATACAATTACAGATATATTTTTTGTACTACACAAAAATTTAACAAGTAACAGTTTCTTAAAAATGAGTTGCAATGTGAAATCTAACACCATGTAAGTGAATTTCAGACTCTTATCACATTAAAATCCACTGGTTTATCTGGGAGTGGTTCCCAGCCACTCAGCAGACTGAGGCAGAAGGATGGCTTGAGGCCAGGAGTTCCAGGCCTTAGTGTGCTTATTAGAGTGCCTGTAATCCTAGCACTCTGGAAGGCCGAGGCGGGCGGATTGCTCGAGGTCAGGAGTTTGAAACAGCTTGAGCAAGAGCGAGACCCCGTCTCTACTATAAATAGAAAGAAATTAATTGGCCAACTAATATATAGAGAAAAAATTAGCCGGGCATGGTGGTGCACACCTGTAGTCCCAGCTACTCGGGAGGCTGAGGCAGCAGGATTGCTTGAGCCCAGGAGTTTGAGGTTGCTGTGAGCTACACTGACGCCATGGCACTCACTCTAGCCTGGGCAATAAAGTGAGACTGTCTCAAAAAAAAAAAAAAAGTAGAGTGCCTGTGAATAGCCACTGCACTCCAGCCTGGGCAACATAGTAAGATCCTGCCTTTAGAAAAATAAAATTAAAATAGTAAAATGAAATAAAATCCACTGGTCTTTCTTGCATAGTTTATGGATCTTATCATAGATTGGTCATTGGAAAATATCGGTTTGTTGAGTTATACAGATCTTCCAAATATTGACACATTTCATTATATAATTTCCAAAAAATCGCATTCATTAATATTATCTCTAATCTCATCAGAAAAGTCTTTACATACTGAAAAATTGTCAAGGTCATGGTGAGGGAGAAATGCAAGTTTTCCAAAATTCCAATTTTTTTTTTTTTTTTGAAAGTGTGAATTTTTTCACTGGCAACAGATCCTGTCAGTTGTTTTTCTTGAAATAATAATCTCACTTGGGTCATTCCAAAAATGTCTGCCAAATGTCCAAGTCTAAAGAACCAGAGTATGTCTGCCAGCCATTCCTGCAAGTAAAAATGATATCTTATATATATTAAAAAAAAAAGATGGCTATAATTCGATCCAAACAATCATAGAAGTGCATTTCCCCAGGAGAGCCCATCATACATAGGTCAGTGTGCAGCAGAAATACTTTCAGAGCATGCTTCCCATTTCATCCCACAGAACAGCAAAAGGACACATAGTCAAGGGGAGAGATTTAATAAGGTTAATCATTTTTAGGGCTCAGCAAGGACATTCTTAAGTGAAATTTTTGTTTTGTTTTTCTGCAAGTGCATAACAGTGGGATCTAATGACAATTGGTAAAGTTTGGTACCACTGCCTTTATTCTTGCTAAGAAGACACCCAGCAGTTTTTATTCACCATCAGTGCAAATGTTAACAGTGTCAAAACCCAATATCATCTTCGTATTATTATGCAAATAGCTTTGACTTCACACACTCTCTGAAAGTGTTTCAGGGAGCCTCACAATCCATGGACCACATTCTGAGAACTGCTGCTCTAGCTGGTAGTGGGCATGATTTTTATTTTTAACAAAGCTTTCTTCTGATTATGAAGGTATTTTGTAGGACTGGTAGAGAACTTTGAAAACAAACAAAACTGTATGAAGAAGAAAAATATAACACAGATTTTTAGCCTGGTGGTCACTTTAGAAGGTGAAAGGAAAAGAAAGGGAGAAAGACCAGGTTCAAGCTGTTCCAACTTGAATAGTCAAATAAAATTTGGAGGAACTATGAATGCTATAACCTTATCATTTACTCAAAGAACTTTCAAGATGGCACTCTGTAATGCTTAAAAGCTTAAAATTGGTATTCCTGACCCTTGAGATGTAATTTTGATCTCCCTTGTTAAATATAAATCAGGGTTTGTAATCTGCTGAGTTGCCTTCTCTCTCTGTCTCTGTCTGTGCCAGTTTTGCACATTCCCAGCATGGCTGATGATGACACCTTGTGCGCTGACACTTTCCATGCCTGAGAGCCTTCTGCTACCATCAGCACATGCCCTCTGGCCCCACTCACCCTTGCCCCACTGTCCGGCAGCACGGGGAGATGGCCAGCAGGAAGCATCCAAACATACATTTCTGACTTATATCCCAAGTCTCTAGGAAACACAGGTTTTCCAGGAGTTTCAGAAATATGTGACTTAATTTGTTGGATTGGATGTTTCATTGCTCATCTCTCTTAATCTGTGCAGCTGCTATAACAAAATACCATGAACTGTGTTGCTTATAACAACCGAAATTTATTTCTCACAGTTCTGGAGTCTGAGGAGTGTAAGATCCAGGGGCCAGCAGATTCAGCATCTGATAGGGGCCCATCCCATTCATGAGGGCTCTCCCCTCTTGACCTAATCACCTCCCAAAAGATCTACCTCCTAATACCATAACCTTGGGGGTTAGAATTTCAACACATGAATGTGGAGAGGGGGCAGTGCTCTGCAGGTGGCAGCCAAGCAGGATGGTTACAGGAAGGTGAAAGAAATCTTGATCCACAAAAGACATTCTAAACCTGCAGGCTCTACCCTCGGGCCATCTCACTATGCCTCTCCAGTTTCCCAATTTTCTGTGATTCACCAAAATCACTAAATACATAATTCTCTTAGGACTTCTATAAATAGGTTTTCTTCTTGTGGTGTTTTATTTAGCAAAATAAAAATAAGTGCTATATGGTACAATAGAGTTCTTACAGTACCTGTTTAAGATACAGTAGGACTCTTTTCTTACCTCTATGAAAGAAAGATCTAACCTTGTTCATAACATTTTTTTTTAACAGCCCAAAGCCTTGAAACTGCTGGGAATGGAAGTAAGTGTTTGCTCAAATTATTAGTGTCAATTATTTATTCCCTTTATTTCACATCTTAAAAAAACTTATGTCTATAAGTTCATTTCAGTGGTAGGGCTAACTTAGTATATGGTTTTAGAATGAAAAAATTAAAAATTTTCAGGTGTCATGGGGGCATCTCACAGTAGCTTTGAAAATTCCACCATGAGGTTATGTCAGCTTTTCGAACAAAAAAACAAATCTTATTTGAAATACTAACTTGAAGACTGAGGAAGCACATAAATTGCAGTGAGAGAAATCTATTCATAGGTGTGTGCAAATGGCAACGGACCAGAGCTACTTCACAACTGTGTCTAACAGGTGTGCAGAAGCTCAAGATAGACTATGATTCCTATCTTATGTTCCTGTGGTTATTGTCATATATGCAAATAAAAGTGTAGGATGCCCTGTCCTTTCAGCAAAAAGAGTAGTCCTGTCCATCAGGAGATACAAACAAACCTACCTGTAGAAGAAAAAGAAAGGATAAATGTAAAGAAAATAGTCCACTAAAAAATAACTTTTTAATTAGAGTATAGCAATGCCATATTCCCATAAGACTGTGTTTATGAATTTATTATTATAACTTGCTTTAAAGCTAGGCAGGGATGAGCATGTGAGTTCTTTTAGGACAGAAGCTGGCCCAGTTCATTCCAGTATTGATCCCAGAGCTGGGCCAGTAGAAGACATACAACAGCTACTTAGGGAAAGGAGCTGATTCATTTCTAACTCAGCCTGCATGTTTTCCCGGAAATTACAGGATGACATTCCCTTGCGGCGAGGAAGAAAGACAACCAAGAAGCGTGAAGAGGAGGTGGACATTGACCTGGATGACCCTGAGATCAACCACTTCCCCTTCCCTTTCCACGAGCTGATGGTGTGGGCTGTCCTCATGAAGCGGCAGAAGATGGCCCTGTTTTTCTGGCAGCATGGCGAGGAGGCCATGGCCAAGGCCTTGGTGGCCTGTAAGCTCTGCAAAGCCATGGCTCACGAGGCCTCTGAGAACGACATGGTCGACGACATTTCCCAGGAGCTGAATCACAACTCCAGGTTGGCCAGCCCAGCAAATGGGGTGGTCTCGGGGGAGAGAGGGGAAGGTGGGCTTCAAACACTGGAGGGGCTGAACCACCCAAACCTTTAAGAGGAGACAGTATCACCCCAGTGGTGTACACAGAGGTGGGCATGAGCATTATGCACCGTGTACATACGGATACACAGAAATTTTTATTTCATCTTCTCAACTATCCCAATAGGGAGGCCCTGTTATTTTGCATTTCTGAGGAAAATGAGGCTCAGAGAATTTAAGCAGCTTGTCCAAGATGGCACATTTGTGGTTGGCAAGGCTGGAATTTGAACTGAGGTTTGTCGCAATTAAGAAGACATACTGCACTCGCATTATTGATTGATTGGTCTGCCTCCCCCATCTATATCCCTTGAGTCTGAGGCCTTGAGTGTGGCGATCATGCCTTGTTTGACTTTTACCCCCAGTTTGAAACATGGTATCTGATGCACAGTGATGCCCAATGGGTGTTAGCTGGATGAATGTATGAGCAGACTAGATGTCATATGAAACAACTACCCCACACAGCAGCCACTTTTTGTGGCTGGCCAACGGGTCCCCACTTTTGTCATATGCCTCCAAGCTGGTCTGAAGGACTCCTCCGCCCATTCTGTCTTTCAGGGACTTTGGCCAGCTGGCTGTGGAGCTCTTGGACCAGTCCTACAAGCAGGACGAGCAGCTGGCCATGAAACTGCTGACTTACGAGCTGAAGAACTGGAGCAACGCCACATGCCTGCAGCTCGCGGTGGCGGCCAAGCACCGCGACTTCATCGCGCACACGTGCAGCCAGATGCTGCTCACCGACATGTGGATGGGCCGGCTGCGCATGCGCAAGAACTCAGGCCTCAAGGTCAGCGCGCCCAAGAAGGCCCTCTGGGCTATTCGGGGCAGAGGGTTGGTTCAAGTTTCCCAAGCCAAATCCGCGGTGGGATTAGGTATCCTCTTGTGTTAGGAGGGTGGTTCTAAACCTGGACTGTGGATCAAATCTCCTGCAGAGCGTTGTTCTGTTTTGTTTTGCTTTCCATGCAGAGGCTAGGACGTCCCCCAAGTCCTGAACCAAAATCCCCAAGGAGGGCGCCTAGACATTAATATATTTCAGAAGATCCAAAGGTGGTGGTAACACACGGGTGCCATAGGGAGAGCCATTCGTATGGGCACAGCCAGCTGCACAGAAGTCCCCACCTAGGCAACCTGTCACTTCTGGGTGTGCCTGGGTGTGAACCCCCAACCCTCTTCAGCATCATGTCTCAGAGACATTGGCTCTTACCAGATGTGCTTGAGCTAGTTTTTAAACTGAAATAAAAATGAAACAGATTTATATGCAAAGACATTGCTAGAAAATCCTGATCTATTCTTCAATGAGGAAAAACAAGTTGCAGACCAGTCTATATAACCTGAGTCCATTTTTATCCAGTGTGTGTATGTATTGCTATGTCTGTATAAATTAATTTTTTTAAAAAAACAGGAAGGACACATAGTAAATTGTGTGTAGAGGTTACTTCTGACATTGAAAGGATAATGTCAGGGACTTTACTGTTTTTAAGAGAAGTAGGATGGAGTGCAGCTTTTGCTTTTTTAGTGGCTTTTTTTTCAATGTTTTTCAAAGATATCATTAAACTGAAAGAAGCAAAAGAAAGACAAAAATAGAAAGTGAAAGATTGAAAGAATGTGGGGGGGTTTTGTTTGTTTTTTGTTTTAGTTTTTGTGATACCAGTTTCTTTTCATTTTTTGACTGTATATATTTAAGGTGTCCATGAGGTTTTGACATATACAGTGAAATGGTTCCTGTAGTCAAGCAAATTAACATATCTGTCATCTTGCATAGTTACCCTTTTTTTGTGTGTGTGTGGTAATAGCACCTAAAATCTATGCTCCTGGTAAATTTCCAGTATACAATATTATACCCATAGTACTGTATAGTTATACATCTCTATTGTACTTATTCATCCTACATATCTGCAACTTTGTGCCCTTTGACCTATATCTCCCATTTCTTCCCCTCCCCCGCCCCTCTTCCCACCCTGGTGGCCACCATTTTACTGGACCAGTGCCCCTTCCCCCACACCACTCTTCCCATGGTCTCTTGGCCCAGGGTCACAGAAGGGCTCTGTGCAGCGGGTCGTGGATGTCCTACAGCCACACTGCTAGTGACCGCGGAGCCTAGCCTCAGACAGGGAGCCAAGCTGGCGCTCAGCTCTGAGACGGTGTAATGTCCCCTGAAGGCTGCCAGCACGCAACCTGAGCCTCCCCAGGCCTGCCAGGCACCCAGAATTCAGGGTCATCGCTGTCCCTCTCCCCTGAACTGCTCTTGAGTCCCTGTGGTCAGTCGAGCACCGGCTGTCCCTGCCTCACTACTTGGAGATCATTTTTACTGACCCTTCGCGATCTGTCTTAGCCCCTCACCTCGGAGCAGTTTCTTCAAGGAGGTTCATCTTCGGAAGCCTTGTGCCCCGGAGTCGTGTTGGGGTTGAGAGCAGTGGTGGGAGAAGACTTGGGGAACCCAAGTCAGATGTCAGTATCATCATTCGGAAGTTCACTCGCTCCCCACAGTGGAGAATGACATTGCCATATGGCGCTGGCCCCTCCTGGGGCACTTGGCCAAGGGCAGCCTCTTGCTGCACACAGAGCCTGCTGGGATGTGTACCTGTGTTTCTGTTGTATAGTGGAGATTGCTCTGAAATAAACAAAATGCTTTACTACCATGTACTCAGGATCAACTTATAACAACATCTTTTACGGAGATAATCAGATAATGCATAATCAATTCCACTTGAAACATTAGCAAATAAATACCAATGGATGTATGTATGAATTGATTTCACAATCAAAATCAAGGGTTGTCTAATGGCAAAATTGGAATCCGGATTCTCTACCACTTTTGGCTCGAATAGAGTCTCTTTTTTTCCTCAGTTTCCCCCATGCAAAGTGAGTGTTAATTGGGTAAGATGTAGTTGGGTAAAATGCTTTTTTTCCTTCAAAAATGAAAGTGAGCTACTGTGCAAAATGATTTCCCAGAAGGGACAAAGTGACCCTCTTAGCATTAATGTGTTCAGTTATTCAAATGTGCAGGACACCCCCCCCCCCGGGCATACAACACCCACGTGCACATGTGCACACACGCTAACACTTGAACACACGCCCTCTGATTCTAAGCAACCACCCTAATCTTAATCCTTTAAATGTGATTATTATTATTATCATTATTATTACTTTAGGTAATTCTGGGAATTCTACTTCCTCCTTCAATTCTCAGCTTGGAGTTCAAGAACAAAGACGACATGCCCTATATGACTCAGGCCCAGGAAATCCATCTCCAAGAGAAGGAGCCAGAAGAACCAGAGAAGCCCACGAAGGAAAAAGACGAAGAGGACATGGAACTGACAGTAAGAAAACACTCGGCAGTCACTGTCCGTGGGGAGAATCCCTAATCCACCGGTCCCGCTGACATGCTTGAAGTCAGACAGCTGTTCCCTAGCCTCCCCCCGTGTTTAATCATGGGGTGCTTTCATTTAGGTATCGAGACCAGGGTATAATAAATGTGTGTTCTTTCTGTGTAAATAACATGATTATAGGATCCAACTGTATGTGACATCTTTCCGCCAGCCACTTGGTGCAGGACAAACCAATAAAATTCAAAAGCAGGACACCCTAAATTTTCCAAACAAGCAAAGCATTCCGAACAGCCGGGTGCTGTGTCTGTCTTAGCACACAAAGGAGAGGGAATCCATGATTTGGGAGCAGCCGGCTTCCCCGAGCTGGGACTGTTCGGCTGATCAGAGGCTGGGTCTGTGTCTGTCTTCAGGGTCAGGCTCACAATTACAGCACTAATTGAATTTTGAGGTTTGTACGGAAAGCTTTTATTAGCTCTTCCTGGTATAATTATAGAGCATGGATGCTTTGTTCTGCAGAAAGAAGGGGGCAGCTGGGCATGGGACAGCTTCCCACAACTCCCGCCTGAGCAGCGTGACTGCCGCTGGCACCTTTCCAAAGGCTAAAAATATCACTAGCCATTAAAGGGACATGCAAGGCTTCATAGCTTGGGAGCCATCAAGCGACAACTCCATAAGGACATTCTTGATAGGCTTCACCCCTTCACCACCACCACCACCCTCCCAATGACCATTGCCTGTAGTGATCCAGAAGAAGCTATAAGGGAAATAAAACAAAAATGATTTTGCTCAGGTGACAAAAGGCCTTTTGCATTATTATCCTACTGGGACCACTGCATGAATTGTTTTTCCTCCAGATAAACAATATTTCTTTCCAGTAGGCCCTTCCTAAAGATCTATTTGCAGCCCAATCCCTGACTCACTGAATCAAAAGCCAACTTTTGTTTCGGTTTCAGGATCCTTATAAAAATCTGTAGAGGAGTCTGCTCACCTCTGTGACAGGATCAGATGACTGTCTTCCCTAACAATCTCACCCTAATTTTGGCTCTGGGTAGGAGAGGATATTTTAATCATTAGCAGAATCATTGGTAGTAGTAATACCCAATCTTTATTGAATATTTCTGCAGAGTGTGTGGTCTAGAGCCAGAATCCTGCCCCTCCCCCCACCAGTGGGCACAATTTTATAACCTCTAACATAAGAATAATAACATTGTCTACCTCACAGGTAGTTGTGGTTTAAAAAGTGTGCAGGTAAACTATTTAGGTTGGCAAATGCCACACCATAAACACTGATAAATGTTCTTTAATATTGTTATAACAGTGCTAAGCCATTTACATACACTTACTCATGGAATCCTCACAACAGTCCCACACAGTAGGCACTATTATTATACCCATTTTACAGATGAGGAAGTTGGGCTTCAGAGAGGTTAAATTGCCCAAGTTTACCCAGCTAATAGGTTGCAAAGCTGGGATTAGAACCCAAGCATACGGACACCATCGGCCACACTTTTGGCCAATAGGTTAAGGGAGAGAGTGAATTTCTCCATACTCTCAGCTGGTTTGGTCCACCATGTAGCAAAAAGAATCCAAGAGTGATAGACAGGACTCCTAAGTCAAGTGTGGCAGAGCCTTGACTTGGGCAGACAACCTAGAAAGACAGCCAGAGGCTGAATCAGCATTCTCTCTGGTTGGGTTTCAAGAAAGAAAGCAAAGGGAGGTGGCTTTGCCTGCTCAGCCCAGAGCTTTGAGGACCTGATCCTTCAAGAAGCCACAATAAGATGCATCTCTAGACAAAGAACAAAGTCTGCTTAGGAGAGAATAGACCCTGGTAGTATTTATTGAGAACCCAAGTAGAAGGCACTGCAGTAGCATTACTGCCTAAGCTTGTTGTCCACAGGCAGAAATGGTAGGGAGAAAGGGAAAGGAAGGAAGGGACGTGTGGGCTGGCAAACTCCAGAGTGTACAGCAGTTGTCTTTAAATCCAGTGGAGCCCCCTTTGACTTCAATGGCAAATTCTGTCACTGCTTGGGCACTGGTCAGTGGGCTCACCGTGGACAGAATTAGAGAGTGCACAGGACTGATATTTGAGCCTCTGTGTTAAACTAATATATCCTCTCTTAGAATGGGACATTCTCCTTTGGCTCTTCCAAAATTGTACACAAAAATATCAACCTCAGTTCACTCCATTTTGTACCCATTGGTAGCTTAGTTCACCTCAAAGTTCTTTCTCAGCTTTGATATCTGTGTCCAGCCAGCAAAGAGTCTCAAATCATACTGTGTGGTTTCATCTGTATTCAACCCTGTTAAATTCTGCTTTAAGGAATGTCAAAGGAAATGTTTGAAGACAGGGAAAAGAAATCAGCAAAACCACAAGTTAAGCTGCTTAGGCTGGAATTAATAAAATATCAAAAATGCTCTATTCAAACCCATGAAAGACATGCCTTTTACAAATGCATTCATGTTGGAATATATCTGAATTATAAAAGCAAACAGGTGGTAGTGGTGGTTGTTTTTTTTTTTTGCTTGACTTGCCAGATAAATGTCTCCACCTAGCACTTTGCCTAATAAAGTTCCAACAGGTCCGCAGACCGAGGACATGGCTATAGCTCTGTTGGGAAAGCCACTGTTCCCAGTGGCTAAGAATGACTAAGAGCATGTGCCTAAGAATTAGAGGATCTCCTTAACCAAACTAAGCTCCAGGCACTTCAGATAATTCACTTCTTCAATACTCACAAGATGCCACTCTCCAAAATGCCTAAAAAGCTGTCTTTACTCTCATCTCATTGTGTCACCAAATGGCACTGTATTTGCCAAGCATGTAAATAAACAGAACAGAAGCAGGATAATAATGTTATATAAATTTTAGAAGGGCAAATATCATGTAACCTCAAAGTTTCTTGAGGTCAACAACCAATATTTATAGAACTTTACTGCTGTCTAGTGTGCTATATCTGTCATGAAGGTTGACTCAGCTCACTGATCAAAATAGACACTTAGATAGGCGTTAGTGTGAAATCTTACCTACCCATTAACTCAACACACTTTGCTAGCCAGAGGTCCACAAAGGCATGGATGTTACCTTCTCCAGAAACCCTACTAGTTACAAGGAAATCAGTTGTAATTGTTATGTTTTTGAGTAATGTGGTTATTAGAGGCAATGATCCAAGCAGCTGTTGAAACTAATATTTGTATATTTTCAATAATTGATTTGAAACCAGAATCATCTAGTGGTTATCTTTATTCTCAACTTCAAAGCAAACAAATTGTCCCTATAATTAGATCTCTCAACTTTAAACTCATATTCCCAGTACTCTGTCTTGTCCCAAATCCTTGTCAGCAAAATCTCAAGTTAAGCTGCTTAGGCTGCAATCAGTGAAATAACAAAAATGCTTTATTCAAACCCACGAAAGACAAGCCTTTTACAAATGCACTCATGTTGGAATATATCTGAATAACAGAGGCAAACAAGTGGTTGTTTTTGTTTCGTTCACATTGCCAGATACATGTCTCCATTTATCAGGACTTCCATAGTCCTGAGAAGTTACAAAGTTTTACCCTCTTCTCACATTTAATAAAAATCTCCCAACTCTGCAGAACTAATCTTGTCTTAGAACAATATTGAAAAATTAAAGCCAAGGAATTATGCTGTTACAGATTGTAACAGAACTTTTTTCCTAGCAAGAGGCCTCAACTAGATAATTTCAGTCAAGAGTATCCAACGTCTCAGTTTGCTTTAATGACTAGCTAATATTTACTGAGCACTTATTAAGTGTCAGATGCTAATTGATTTGCGGGCCAGTCCTATTTCAGGTGCTTTATTACCCCATTTTTACAGTTAAAAAATCTAAGACTCAAAGAGGTTTAAACTTTGTGCATGGTGCCACCGTTTCTAAGTGTCCAAGTTTGGACTCAAGTCTCCCATCTGAGTGACACAAGGCTGGAACACTTCTCCACCAAGGTCTTCAGCTATCTTCGAGGCATCCTGTCACTTGCTACCCAGATAGGCAGGTGTCTGCCTTTTTTTCAAGTCCTGCCTTTTTTGAGATGTTAAATCATTATTGTGATCACTGCTACTATTCTCAAGAAAATCTCCAACAGCTTGGAGATGAGGACTTCTCTGGGTCAGGCCTGCCTGGGGTCCTTCTCCTAGTCTCACCTGGTTGCAGGGGAAGGTAGTGTGCCCAGGAGTCACCAAGAAACTGACACCAGCAATAATTCAGGTTTTACAGGGTTTGAAATCTGGGAGCCTAAGAGCATGTGCCTAAGAATTAGAGGATCTCCTTAACCTAACTAAGCTCCAGGCACTACAGATAATTCACCTCTTCAATACTCACAACCCTTGGGTAACTTAGGTATTCTGGTTCAATTAACCTTTGACTTAAGAGTCGTTTAGCATGGATGGAGACAGAATTTGAATCCATATCTAGCCTATTTCATGATAGGGACGGAGAGAGGGGGTGGAGAGGGACAGATTGCTGAAGCCCAGTCTTTCCAGGCTGCACTCTGTCTTCCCCTTGGAACTCTGGTGTCTTCTATCACCCGCACCTTCCAGAGGTCTCAGGATGGAGGAGAAGAGAATAGTCAAGAAATATCGGCCGGGCGCGGTGGCTCACGCCTGTAATCCTAGCTCTTGGGAGGCCGAGACGGGCAGATTGCTCAAGGTCAGGAGTTCAAAACCAGCCTGAGCAAGCCGTCTCTACTATAAATAGAAAGAAATTAATTGGCCAACTGATATATATATAAAAAATTAGCCGGGCATGGTGGCGCATGCCTGTAGTCCCAGCTACTCGGGAGGCTGAGGCAGAAGGATCGCTCGAGCCCAGGAGTTTGAGGTTGCTGTGAGCTAGGCTAACGCCACGGCACTCACTCTAGCCTGGGCAACAAAGTGAGACTCTGTCTCAAAAAAAAAAAAAAAAGAAATATCCTCTGCCAGGCACGGTGGCTCACGCCTGTAATCCTAGCACTCTGGGAGGCTGAGCCGTGAGGTTCGCTTGAGCTCAGGAGTTGGAGACAAGCCTAAGCAAGAGGGAGACCCGCCTTAGGTAAAAATAGAAAAATTAGCCGGGCATGGTAGCGCATGCCTGTAGTCCCAGCTACTAGGGAGGCTGAGGCAGGAGTGTTGCCTGAGCCCAGGAGTTGGAGGTTGCAGTGAGCAATGATGATGCCACTGTACTGTAGCTGGGCAACACAGCGAGACTCTGTCTCAAAATAAAAGAAAAAAAGAGAAAGAAATATTCTCAAGATCTTCCATCTCAGACAAAGGGTAAACACAGATTATACGTATAATGCAAATGCACACTTACGGCGGGCACAACCTCTAAATCTCTGGGGCCTTGGTTTCTTAGGTTCTATGGGCATCCTTTCCTGATCTGTAGAATGAGCACATTGAACTGTGCACCCTCCAGAGCCCTGCTGTGATGGTTTCAATTCTCTTCCACCGTAGGCAATGCTGGGACGAAACAATGGAGAGTCCTCCAGGAAGAAGGATGAAGAGGAAGCTCAGAGCAGGCATCGATTAATCCCCCTGGGCAGAAAAATCTATGAATTCTACAATGCACCCATCGTGAAGTTCTGGTTCTACACTGTAAGCATCTTTCCTTTTCCCCTTCCTAAAGGATGGCCACCAGGAGCCCACATCCATTTCTCATGCGCCAGTGTGGTTTTCTCTGCAAGTCATAACATGAGTGCCCACAAGCAGGAACGAAGGCTCTGAGATCTTGCTTTTTCAATAGCTTTGCAAGATGTGTGGAGTTAGGAAGCTAGGTTAGGAAGCTTCCATGGGCTACATTTCTCCACCTCTCATGAAATAGAGGAAATGGCAAAAGAGAACTAACAGAAATAGAGGTGAAATGAATATGAGTCTAGTTAGCAGGACAGTAGATGTCCTTTTTCAAAACACTTCCTTGTCCTCGATGGATGAGTGCCTCTGTTTTAGATGCCAATCCCAGGTTTAGGGGGACTTTTGGTGGGTAAGGGCTAAAGACAGTATAGAAGTAACACCACTAAGGAAGGGTAGCATGTGTGTGTAACTGCTCCCAATCTGGTGGTGTCATCAAACAACCTTTCTTGCTCTGACACAATTTTTTTTTTTTTTTTTTTTTGACAGAGTAAGGTCTCACTCTGTCACCTGGGCTACAATGCAGGGGCCCTATCATAGCTCCCTGCAACCTTAAACTCCTGGGTTCAAGGTATCTTCCTGGCTCAGCCTCCCTGGTAGCTGGGACTACAGGCATGCACCACCATGCCCGGCTAACTTTTTATATTTTATTTTCTGTAGAGACAGGGTCTTGCTATGTTGTTCAGGCTGCTCTGACACAATTAACATATAAACCATAGCAGCAAAAAACTACTCAATAAAACCTACAAGCAAATATTATTTGGGATGCACACCCTACAAACATTTCCTGCCTACTAAACAATGGGCTGTCCCTGCAATGGCCTCCGGGTGGGGTGAAAATGGCTGCACTGTTGGTTTTCCACTTCTACTTTTCACTGCTATGTTAAGTTTAAGGTGAGCTCCCAGCTCAGGTCATCTGCGATTCTCTCCAGCCTCAGCGGCACGGGGCCAGATGAAGGATAGTGCATCTGTATTTTTAGCCTTTGCCACAACCAGCTGCACAGCAGTCATTTGAGTCAGCAACAGGATCATCTGAGTCTGAGCCCAAGATGACTCAAATGACCAGGCGAGGTGCTCTTCGTGTCGTCCTGTGTGCTAACACTGAGCCTGGGCTTTGAAGCAGAGTTTCTCTACCTCAGCACTGTTGGTATTTGGGGCAGGATAATTCTTCATTGGGGGGGGCTGTCCCCCCCCACATAGCATGTTCAGCAGCACCCCTGGCTCTACACAGGAGCATCCTCCATCCCCCAAGTACGACAACCAGAATGTCTCCAGACATTGCCAGATGTCCCCCGGTGGGATCAAATTGCCACCAGTTGAAAACTACTACCGTAAAGTATGGTCTTAAAAGAGGATGGGATATTATGAAAATAAAAGTATTAGAATTTTTTAAGTAAAGTAAAAATCCAAATGTATCCATATTAAAAAGACAGAAAAATTCTCCTCCTCTCCCCCCCAAAAAATAACGGAGGCATGCAGAAATCATTCCTATTTATATATTTTATACAGATCTATATTATTTTTAACCTTGCGGAAAACAGCTTAGTGGTGACAAGCATGGACTTTGAAATCCAACAGACTGGGTGGAAATCCCATCTGTGCCTCTTAGGGCCGTGTGCCCTCAAGCAAGATACTTTCCCATGCTGTCCACAGTTTCCTGAAGATGGGGATAATAATAGTGCCTATTTTGTAGGATTTAGTAAACAGTAAATGTGTTAAAATGTATAAAGCACTTAGAACAGTGCCTGGACATGTAAGCACAGTGTCACTGTAACCGTCATTTGTCCTAGGCTAGTCATGTTGCACAGCAATAGGTAATCAGTGTTGTGTTCATCCATCCACTCAACCATAATAATGTCATTTATTGAGCGCCTACTACATTCGAGGCAATGTGCTAGGTGCTATATAAGTACACCCCATTATCCTAAAGGCAAATGTTACCAAGATGATATTTTTACTGCCATTCTACAGCCAGGTCTGCCCTCCCTCTGACCCTGTGCTGCCTCAACTGCTTCAACCCAGTTCAGGGCTTGGCAAATGACAGCCCTCAGGCCGAATCCAGCCTAAGGCCTGGGATTTTAAAGGGTTGAACTAAAGTTTTTAAAAGAATATTTCATGACACACGAAAATTATATGAAATTCAAAATTTCCGTGTCCATAAATAAAGTTTTATTGGAACACGGCCCAACTCTTGTACTTACCCATAGTCCGGCTGCTTTTGTGCTAACCACAGTAGAGTTGATTTGTAGCCATAGAGATGGCTGGATCCACAAAACCTTAAAAGGTAACTATCTGGCCGTTTGCAGACTCCTGAGAGCAGAAAAGAAAACAGAAGTAATAGTATCAGTATTTCTGAAAGTTTTGTTGGGAATGCAAATTCCTGGCCCCATCATAGATCCAGGTAAGTCAAATCTTCAGGAAGGAGTTTGAGAGGCTGTGTGTTTAACAAGCCTCCTGAGCAAATCCAATGATCAAAGAAGCTTGGGGCTGAGCGCGGTGGCCCACACCTGTAATCCTAGCACTCTGGGAGGCCAAGGCGGGCGGATTGCTCGTGGTCAGGAGTTCAAAACCAGCCTGAGCATGAGCGAGACCCCGTCTCTACTATAAATAGAAAGAGATTCATTGGCTAACTAACATATATATAGAAAAAATTAGCCGGGCATAGTGGCACATGCCTGTAGTCCCAGCCACTCGGGAGGCTGAGGCAGAAGGATTGCTTGAGCCCAGGAGTGTGAGGTTGCTGTGAGCTAGGCTGACGCCACGGCACTCACTCTAGCCTGGGCAACAAAGTGAGACACTGTCTCAAAAAAGTAAAAGAAGCTTGGGGTACACTGCTTTGTTTGCATCATTTGCAGCACTTTGGGAAGCTGCCTCGTTGAGGGGTGCGGGCCTATGTGTCCAACTCTCTTCTGAGTGGATCCCCCAGATGTATCCAGTTGTGTTTACACAACGATTCCCAGAAATCCATACTTATGTTCTGACAAAGCCCAGGCTTCAAGGAAGTGAACTGGAGACGAGGTACGCCAGCCTTTCCAATCGCCAGGGATGCTTACCAATAAAATTCGTTTTCAGATTGAAGGGCCCGTTTGCTTTGGGTTGTGTTCTTCTCTGGAAGAGTGTTTCTCACTCTGATTTCCAGAAGTGTCCCCTTCTACTCTGCCAGGGTTCTGAAAGGTCGGGCACCGCTCATTTCCATATAACCTCGCTTCTCCATCTTAGCAAGTTTCCCGAGGAGCAGGTTGGGCCCTCTTCTGTTCCAAGAGAAAAGAAGGCAGGGATCCAGCTGGCTCCCAGACCCTGTTCGTGTGTCCAGCTGGAGAAGATTCAAGTTCAAGGTGCAAAGTGGCCGCAGGTCAGAGGATAAGGCATGCACCTGGCGTTTCTCTAGCAGTGACAAACTCTTTCCTCTGCAAGGCCAGGTGCCCCGTCTGCTCTCTAGAGACATTAGAAAAGGCCCAGGAAAAAGTGAGGCCCAGGAAAAACCCCACCACGGATCCACAGCAAACTGCAGCAGGCTTTGGTGTTTGTGGTTGATGGCTTAGGAAGCATGCATCTTGCTTAATGGAAAATGTAAGGAAAAAAAATATATATATATATATAAGCAAATAGAATACAAATTTTGATAGGACTACCACTGACAAATAAGAATCATAAGATTATATTTTTGTTCAAAATCTTTGACATTCTGCACACAGGTTGTTAAAACTTACAGAATACACACACACACACACACAATTACAGCATTACAGCATGCCGTGTTAAGATGATCAAGGCGGCATGAATGTTGGTGAGTTCTGAGATAGGTTGCTTCCAGTGCAGCAGCCAGTGCTGTGTTGTGCCATCTAAACATGTTTAAGACCCTATTTTCAGAAGTCTATATTTAGGGAGTTATCCCAAAATATTATATGGTAGCTTAAGTATGGGAAAAGTTCATTATAGAGTAACCGTGATTTAAGGAATGGGCAGGAGCTAAAAAGGATGAAAGTGGAGGAAGCATAAACAATAATGAGGACAATTTTAAAAAGAAAAAAAAAGAGGAGACAATTAAAAAAAGAGAGAGAGAATAGTTCACAGGGGATTGAAGGGAAGCAAGGGCTGAGATAAGAGGAACAGCAGAAGCATCTTGAAAAAAGAGGTGAATATTCACCATTCCTTGGGGCCTCTACGATGTGTTGAGAGACAGATAGATGGATCCTCAGTCCTTCCAAAGGGCTCTAGAAGGTAAGTAGCAATGGCCTCCATTTGACAGAATGGAGGCCCAGGCAAGTTAAATGACTTGCAAAGATGATACAGCTGGGAAGTGTGTGAGCCAGGATTAAAATCTGTACCTACCTTCCCCCCACCAAACACGTTAGGTCTGTGTTCAGAGGACAGGTGCGAGTGAGAGGAGTTACTTGAGTACTGAAACGCAGAGGTTCTAGAAGAATTGTGTGTGTGTCACTGGGCCTACCTGTGACAAGAGAAGATAATGCTTTGGAATGTTTTGCAGTGAATTGGGTAAAATGAGAAAAACCAGGGCAGTTAACAGGATTCATTTCACCTAGAAACAATGGAAGTTGTTCCAACAAAGAAAAGGAAGCAACCAGAGTGAGCGGAGGATTTCAAGTCAGAAGGAAGCTGAGAGTATATTTTAGAGTTTTAATCATTGAAGTCCTTCTTTTGCATTTTGTTAAATGCAAAGTCCTTTTTTTTTTTTTTTTTGCATTCTGTATTCAGGAACTACAGAATGAATGCCAGTATATTATAATGACAAACAGAACCATATGAACCAAGTTCCATTTTGAGCTGATTTTTAAACAGTGTCCTACATGATTTTAACTAAACTCTTTCATGAGAGGTTTTCAGGAGTTGCTAATGATTCTGAAGATAGGGAAGGGGAGGAACTGGGCACGATTACAGTGACAGTGCTGGGGGGGAGAAGAGCTTGGATGGAGAGCGAGCCCCGCTTTCACACGTGATCTCATTTAGTTCCCACATATTCTCATCCTTTAAGAGATGAGGAAATTATATGCAACAGCTGTGTCTGCAAATGTGACAATGTCATAGGGTCTTAGAAATACCTCTGACTCCTATTAAGAATCCATTTATTCTCTTACAAAAACAAAAAGGGAAAAGAAAAAGAACAGGAAGGAAGGAAAGAAGGAGGGAAGGAAGGAAGGAAGGAAGGAAGGAAGGAAGGAAGGAAGGAAGGAAGGAAGGAAGAAAGGAAGGTAGGAAGGCACGAAGGGAGGGAGGGAGGGAGGGAGGGAGGGAGGGAGGGAAGGAAGGGGAGGGGAGAAAGTGAGGAAGAGAGGAAGGGAGGCAGGGGGGAGGGAGGGAGGAGGAAGGGAGGGAGGAAGGGAGGAAGGAGGAAGGGAGGGAAGGAAGGGAGGGAGGGAAGAAAGGGAGGGAGGGAAGGAACCCTGTTAGTAGAGAAAGCAGCATTTTTCTCCAGTATCAGTGGCTGTGTATCCCCAGCCAGCTGCAGCTTCCACCACCTTCTAAGCTGTCCCCATGGCTCCAAAGTCACACAATACCTCCAGAACTCTCAAGACCTCAATCTTGTCACCCACACAGTGTCCTATTCTTTGCAATACCACTCTGAAGGGTGCAGAAAATTTGAATAAACTCACTCTGAGTTACAACTCCCGGCCCCTAAGGCCAATAAGTGCCTTATTCCACTCGAAGCGTTGCCTAGGGAAGGTTTAGCTTCTCTGCCCTTTTCCCTCAGGGTGACTTTCTCTGCAGGCTCCTCAGCCTCTCAGGCAAGAGCCTCACCAGTTTTCCTACACTCCTCTCACCTTGACACAGTTGAGTCCTCCATGACAGTCCCCAAACCTGAACCCCGAGGAGTGTTTCCGGACATCCCGCAATTCGCCGCTCACATCAGGACTCAGCCTCAATGTGCTAGAGCCACATGACGATTAAACCCCACTCCGATCACAACAGGCCACAAAGACTCATTCCTTCCTATAAATTGCATTGTCTTCCCTTGTTTTGTTTCAAAGAAGCATAAGCCAGAAAGAAATACTGCGACTTGGCTAGGGCAGGGAGGTGGCGCAGTGAAAACCAGGTAACACCCTCCCAGGGCACTGACATGCCAAGCACTTTAAGGTAGGAGGGGGAAAGATGACATTAACTCAGAAGAGAACTAAAGTGGGGCCTCAGGATAAAAAGCATGGGCTATTTTTATGTTGCTCTGACCAATGTACGGGTATTATTACACGTGTCTTCCTCTCCTTCTCACAGACATTTATTCTGCCTGGCATTCATGAGGCAGAAATCCACTGTGCTGTCCTAGTTTAAGAACCTACGGTCCACGCATGAGCAAGAGCAGCCCCTGACAGATGAGGTTCCCCTTTTAGCCAGAAAGACTCAAAAAAACCGGGCAATTAACTACAAAACAAAATGACGCATCATGCCACACAGGCATGAACAAATTACCAGGATGCCAGACACACATGGAAGGGTCAAAGGAAAGATTGCATATTCAATCTTACTTCTTGCAAGTAATTGCAAGAATTTAATATCGCAAATAGTACAGTCTTTTCCAATCCTTTGGGTGGTTTGGAGCTTGTGGGTTCATTTTGTCGTGGATTCTGTGTCCCGCTAGCTGACCTCGTTCTGTGCTGCTGCCGGGCGGTGGCCTTGCCCGAGGCCAGGGTCCGGGGCGCCTCTGCAGCCAGAGCTCTGTCTGTGTCTCCTCACAGCTGGCCTACATCGGGTACCTCATGCTCTTCAACTACATCGTGCTCGTGAAGATGGAACGCTGGCCTTCCACCCAGGAATGGATCGTCATCTCCTACATTTTCACGCTGGGAATAGAAAAGATGAGAGAGGTAATTGCTTTCGTAAAAGGAAACACAGGAGAAAGACAATGGTTCCTTCTGTTTGTGGATGGGGGGGCCGGGGGGGTCACCTGGGATCCAAATTAAGCCAGAAACTGTTTTGTCCCATGCTGCCACGGGGCTGCTGCTTTCCTCCTTTGACGAACCTGGGGAGGATTCGCAGTGTGGTGTCCACGGGGCTGTCACCCCACGAGTGCTTAGGATTTTTATTCTATTTTCTGCCAATGGAGCTTTTGCTGCCCCCCCCCAAGAAACCCTTCAGTTGTCTTTGATGCCGTTTACACTTCTCTGTACTCGGCCCCACAAACAGGGCTTTCTAAATTTTGCCAATTTTAACTCCCATTTCGATCCCTTACGCTGGCTCTCTTTGGACACAGCCTGCCTGTGAATCTCCAGATGCGTTTCAGCAGCTCCAGGAGCAACTCCACTTTCATTCATTTATGTCATTTATTCCATGGTTTCTTCCTTCTCAACATTTAGCATGCACCTGCCGGGCACCAGCCACTCCAGCAGCCCTAGGTGTCACCAAGGTGAACCGGACGCGGTGCTTGTCCTTCAGGTTGAGGTTTCAGAGTCCCTATTTTCTGCCCCCTCCGTGTGGCCTGCAAGGAGCCATCAGAACACCACCCCCAAAGGATTTAGTGGCAATCCCAGCTAACCTCAGGGGGCCCACCAGATTCAAAGAGCCATTAGAATAAATGTGATCAGGTGAAAGTCCACAAGAGGGCGCTGCAACCCTGCTCAAAGCTCTCCACAAACTCCTATTTCACTAGAGAAAACCACTGGGGAAGGCAGGCTTAGGAGACAGTGCATTCCTCTGCATTTTCCCTGGAACTGCGGTCAGCAGGACAGGCCCTTTCTGGAAGAAATGCTCCAGGTCAAGTCCACTCTACCTTTAAGAGCTCAGGAACAACCCTACTTGCTGTAGTACAGTGGGTGGGAAAATATACTGGGCACCAAAGAAAACGATTCCCACAGATCCACAAACGTGCTACAAATTCGCCTTTGTTACTAAGACAGCTTAAATCCTGGCAAGGGTTTCGGCTCTAGAATGTTTTCCTGCAGAGAAAAGATGCAGTAGCTATTTGATGCAACTGTATTGGAATAGGGAAAAATCTTTGTTTTGGCTTTTTGTTTTGTTTTTATTTTGTTTTAAGACAGGGTCTCTATTAAATATATAAATAAATATATATATACATAACCTATATTTTGATCCCTTCTCTTGAGTTTTTAAACTATCTGGGGAATATTTTCATTCTAACAAGCATCTCCCCATCCCGAGAACTTAGGAGTGGTATACTAGGCCCACTTTATAAAAAACAGGATCAAAAAAAAAAAAAAAAAAAACCCAAAACATGACATGCTTTGCCTGGTTCCAGCTAGTTGTCTACACCGTGGGCTTCCCGTGCACAGTGAGTGCCTTTTCTTCTTGACCCGTGCTGTGGATTTCCCACTTGTAAACTGAGAAGCAGCAATACGCTGCTCTGGTCTCTGTGCAGCTCTATGAGGCCTGCTATCGCGGGGCCCTGCGGCCGGGCGCTCGGTGCCAGCTGGAGTTGTTGTGACTTAACGCCCAGATGCGTATTCCCTCCCCATGATGAGCAGAGCAGGGAAAGACTGCAGCAGGGAGGCTGGAGTCTCTCCAGGGACGAGGCGGGAGGAGACAGGGAGCGGTCTGTACTCCGCGGACTGTTCTGGCAGGGGCCGCCAGGCAGGCGGGCGGCCAGGAGCCTCCAGGCCCGGGTTTCTCCTGAGGCGGCGGCGCAGGGTAGCAGGGCGGGCAGGTCAGCGGGGGGTCAGCCGGCCACAGCACGGGTCAAGAAGAAAAGACACCATGGACAGGAAGACAGCAGCGTAGACAACCGGTTGGAACAGGGCGAGACACTTCATGTTGTTACTATTATTTTTTTTTAATCCTGTCCTTTATAAAGTGGGCCTAGTGTACCCGCTGCTAGGTTCTCAGGACGCAGAGGTGCTTGCCGTCCTTGCTTCCAAGGTAGCAGTGGGGAGTGAGGAGGTGACCACCTTCGGGTCTGGCCTTTCCCTCTGTGGCCCAGCGAGGTGGCTCCCTGCCCCCCCGCGCCCCCGCCCTGCACTCACTAAAGGGACACTCGGCTACCCAGGGCCGAGGCCCCCCCAGGCCGCGTCAGCGCACGGGCTCGGACGCAAGATCCTGGAAACGTGGAAAAGTCTGCGTGCTTCCGTGCCTTCCCGGCGACACACCAGGAGGGCTTTGTGGTTTCCCTGCTGCCCCCATTCCCAGCTCTGCATACTTCTGCCCCGAGTCACCAAAGCGCACAGCGCTAATCCCTTAATAGCACGCACTGTTTACAATGCGTCAGCAGACACGACCTCATCTGCATCCGCCTCCCCCAGCTCTGAAGTCCGCGGCTGCTGCGATGGCATCCCCTCCTTACACGTCTGGGAAGTAAGACTCAGAGGGATTAAGCAATTTTCTGTGTCCCACGGCTAGAAAGGACAGCGAAGGGTCCATGTCCACACTCGCAGCTCTTTCCGCTCCCTGCGACGCTGCTCAAGGTCCTGGGTTATAAGCCAGGCGCCTAAGGGCTGGCTCCGGAGAGGAAGGGTGCCAGGTGGGGGAAACCTGGACTCTCCCCTCTGCTTCACCCCAGACTGCTCTGCTTGCATCGCTTTTGTTCATGTTGGGACTTCAGAAAAAACTTTTTTTCACTATTTAAAAATTATACTACCAACCTGTACGTTTAGCAGTGCTAGGAAAATGTGAGCAAAGGGTTAGCAAAGCTCTAAGGCATTGTCCGTATCCCGAGCCCCCCAATACACACACTTAGATTTTTGCTCAGTTAACATGGAGCTGGGGGTGAGAAACCATCAGGACGACAGCAACTGCAGGAGTTGCTGGTGGGTAGGACAGTGGTTCTCAAACTGTGGCCTCCAGCATGACCTGGGACCCTGATCAAAACATAAATCCAAACATAAATCCTGCAGCCCCCACCCCCCAGGCCTGCTGGAGCAGAAATTCCGGGGCTGCAGCCTGGACAAACTCCAGGTGACGCTGGTGCACACTAAAGTTTAAGAAACTCTTGGCTAGGGCTTGGGATGGGGACATCACAGAGGATGAAAAGTAAAGCTACCCAGTGGCTCCTGGTGTCTTGCTCATCCTTTGAAGCCCCAGCCCTGACTTACTAAAACTTGCCTTCCTGAGCATGTCAGACCAAGGTAAACCATTATAGTGAAAATAAGGGTTCAAACAAACAGTTGCAAATAGACCTGTCCCCAATCTGTTCTCTCCCCTCCTTTGAGAAGGAGTCCTGAGTGAGGGAAAGGGTGCTCATGTTCGAAGAGATGGAAACTTCAGGGGCAAACACAGGCGATGCAGGTAGGTGGCCCTGGTGCACAGCTGCACAAAACCGGGTTCCCTGGCTCCTCACACCCTGGAGCAGACTGTGGTGCAGGATGGGTGCCATTCCTGCTGTCGAGCTGCGTATTGCGTAGGCCCAGGCATGGCAGCCCCTCAAAGGCAAATTGAGAGTCTCACCCAGCAATTAGGATATGCAAGATGCAGGGGTCCTCAAACTTTTTAAACAGGGGGCCAGTTCACTGTCCCTCAGACAGTTGAAGAGTGTGCACTGTGGGCCCCGGACGAGTCGGCTGCTAAGCAGGACAGGCAGTGGCAGCAAAAACACCTGGAGGGCCAGATAAATGAGCTAGGTGGCCCGTATGTGGCCCTCGGGCTGTATTTTGAGGACTCCTGGTAGAGAATTGCTGTCAGGTGCCTATGCAACACTCAGACAGTTGACAAATGTGTATTGAGTGTCTATGATGTACAAAGGGTCTTCCCTTGGAGTTTACAATCCAGGGAAGAGAGAAGGATGGATGGATGGATAGGTGGGCACACATACTCCTACACATATACATATACATGCATACAAAGATATTTTCATACAGTGATAAAGACATCAAAAAGTTAAACAGGGTAGTAATGTATTAGAGAGTGACCTGGTGACATGGAGGTGACTGCAGCTTATTTGATCAGAGACCTTGAGGATGAAAAGAAGTCAAATATAAATCTGGGAGAAGAAAGTTCCCAACAGAAGGAACAAGTGCAGATGTCCTGAGCATAGAATAAACTTGTTATGCTTAAGAGCAAGTGACTGTGGCAGCAGGGTAGAGAATGAGGGAGATTATGGTGAGATGTGAAATGAGGCCTCCATAAGGAGTTTGGAGTTTTCTCTGTTTCTATTTTTGGTTTTTTGTTTGCTTGTTTGTTTGTTTGTTTGTTTGTTTGTTTTAGAGATGGGGTCTTGCTTTGTTGCCCAGGCTGAAGTGCAGTGATGCACTCATAGCTCACAGTAGCCTTGAACTCCTGGGCTCAAGTGATCCTCCTTCCTCAGCCTCCCGAGTAGCTGGGACTCAGGTTTTTCTCTGTTTGTAATGTAAGCCATCAGAAAGTTTAAATATGCAATTATCATAATTTCCTTTAGTTTCTGGTATTGTTCATTTGTCCCTCAAGTCTCTCCTTTTTTTTTTTTAATAGACATATAATTTACCTGTAACAAAATGAACAGCTCCTAAAGGTACAGCTTGATGAGTTTTTACCTGTTCATACAACTGTATAATCACCATCCAGATCATGGCTTAGGTTTTTAAAGATCGTTCCGTGTGCTGCCCAGAGAATAGGATGACAGTGGAGGCTGGGGGGACAATAACGGCACAGGGACACCAGTTAGAAGGCTTCTGCGATCATCTGTGAGATGTGATGGAGCTTAGAATAGGGAGGCAGCAGTGGGGCGGGGTGAGAAGTGGTTGGTTAGGTTGCATTTAGAAATAGAGGCGATAGGACTCATTGACGCAGAGGATGGGGGTGTAAAAGAGAGGAATGAAAGCATCTTCCCCGGCGGGTGGTCTGAGTAACTCAACACAGTGAGTGGCACTGTTTACTGAGAGGGAACAAGACTTTGGAGAAGATTTGCAGCCCACTGGGATTCAATAATTTTACAGCAAAACCCTAATGTATGTCTTAAAATTTTAAGACAACTCAAAGAATCAAAATGATTCCTTATATCCGTCTCTGTAATATTTGCATCTGGATTGCCTAAGCTTAGCGCTGTGGGACATTTCATAGCATGAAAGTAGACACGGGTAGACAAAGCAAGAGACTTATGTCAGCTAACAGACCAAGCACTTTCCAACTGGGCTGAAAATGTAGACAGAAACCAGACCTAACCCCACTCCCCTTCCTGCCTTGTAGATTCTGATGTCAGAGCCAGGAAAACTGCTGCAGAAAGTGAAGGTGTGGCTGCAAGAGTACTGGAACGTCACGGATCTCATAGCCATCCTTCTGTTCTCTGTCGGCATGATCCTTCGCCTCCAAGACCAGCCCTTCAGGAGTGACGGGAGGGTCATCTACTGCGTGAACATCATTTATTGGTACATCCGCCTGCTGGACATCTTCGGCGTGAACAAGTATTTGGGCCCGTATGTAATGATGATTGGGAAAATGGTAAGCAGGGCTTCTGATTCCTTGTTGTATGTTCTCAGAGGAGAAGTGGTGATAATAGGAAGAGAGGAAAAATTCATGCGGGCTTGCCATCAAGGGCTGAATGAGATGGCCCTAGGGGCGTTTTATTTTCCAAGTTCCTTTTGATCATTTGGCCATTTGACTACATCTATTTACAAAACTGGAGAATGTAATCATCGTTCACCTGCACTCACTTACTGAAAAAAATAGAAAGATCATCTATTTTGTGCCAGGCTTCCTTACTGGACTAGGAGTTGGGTGTACAAAGACGTTCTTTCCGTGAGATTGAAGTTGAAAGACAGAGAAAGAGAAAGAGAAGTAACATGTTTCCCTGAAAATAAGACCCCTAAAATAAGCCCTAGCAGGATTTCTAAGCATTTGTGCAATATAAGCCCTACCCTGAAAATAAGACCTAGTGATGGGCGTGGCTACGCAGCGTATCTGCACAACCCATGCATTTCTTTGAGGAGCGGTAAAGAAGGCAAGCAGCCCTTCGAGAACTCTATTGCTCAACATGAGAGACTGGGGACAATGGTTCTAAAGGAAATAGAGTCACAAGAAATTCAGGATGGAATTTGGGGTTTGGAGAGTTAGGATGATGTTCCAGAAGAAGACGACTTAACTATATTTGAATAAATGTAGATTGTTGTACCATACTTAAAAAAATAACACATCCCCTGAAAATAAGCCCTAGGGTGTCTTCTTGAGGAATAAATATAAGACCCTGTCTTATTTTCAGGGAAACACGGTAGTTGCCATACCGTGTAAGAATGCTATAGTAGACGTGTATAAAGAACAACAGGGGCACAGAAAAGAGAATATAGGTCAGGTTCACATGAAAGTTATGTTTTAGATAGGTCTTGGAAGACCAATGGGGTCTCCCCTACAAATTTTTAACAGACCTTTAAAATTTTTTAAAGATCCTGTGTTTTTAAACGAAGTGCTAGAAAAATGTCTTTCCCTCCACAAAGGGAAGGCAAACAGTTTATTTGAGCTGAGCTGAGTGGAGCTGACTTTGGTTGAGTTTGAATTGAATATTAAATTCTATCACACATCATGTGTTTCCTTGCACTACTGGAAAATGATGTCTGTTAAGAACGAGGTTCCAGAATAATGCTCCTACTTATCTAATTCCTTGAAAAAGAATCCTAAGTGGTAAGCTGGTATGCTTCCCGTTTGCTGGGGGCTTGTTCTGATACTCCCTGAGCACACACCGGCTTCTAGATGTTTTCCATAAAGACTAGGGCAGCATCGTGTGGATCTGGGAGTGCAGCAATAAATCAGCTCCCTCTCGTAACTCACTAGATTAAGAAGCAGAGACTGAAGTCAGAACTGGATACTTTTTATCCATTCCCCCAGGTTCACAAATGTGCCCCCTACTTCACCTTTACAAGACATATGTGGGAAAGCTGAGTACATCCATCCTACTGTGGCAAACACCTTACTGAAAAACCTCTTTGCTAATAACCTTCACTTTGCTTCCATTGTACGAGCTATTGAAATCAACAATTAGTCAATAGATATTCCTTATCATTATCACTCACTTTACTACATATATCATTGCTAACCCATTATTTATTAAACATCTGTGTGTATGTATCATTCTACTGAAATGAACTTAAATAACCAAGACTCTTCCTACAAAAGCACTGACAAACTCATGCAAAGAGAGGAAGAATTTGAATTTAAAATGAATGGTATGAGACCTTGAGCAATTTATTTAAACTCTTTGAGACTCAGTTTTCTCATTTCCAAGGTAGTAATGAATAATAAATGCATATCTTGTAGGATTGTTGTAATGAGTAGAAATAATACATGTTAAAATGACCAACAGTGTCTGGCTCATTGTTCGGTAGTTGATAAGTTGTATCTGTTATCATTATGTTCATATTATATTTTTTAAAGTACAATGAAAAAAGAAAAAATTGATGAACATAGTTATTTTGCTGTATTCCTAACCCTTTTGCACAAAAGTTTGATATTTATAACAACAGCATAGTTTAGGGCAAATGTCACCAAACCCATTCTAAAGAGGAAAAACTTGAATTCACAAGCTTAAGATACTTACCCAAAACTGAACCTCAGTTCAATTAGAGATTTTTTAAAAAATTGAATTGAATTTCAGAGTATTATGGGAATACAAATGTTTTGGTTACATAAATTGCTTTTGTACAGTTTGAGTCAAAGTTATAAGTGTGCCCATCACCCAGATAGCGTGCATGGTACCCGTTAGGTGTGAATTTACCCATCCCCTCCGTCTCTCTCCCACCTGTTTGATTTCCAGTGAGTTATAGAGTAAGATACACATTTTTTCCTACTCCAAAAATCTCCAATTCCTGCAAAATTTTGACAATGGAAAAAAAAATGCGTATCTTTCTCTATTATACTGCCTGTTATATCATCTTCTTTGTACTTTAACAATAAATTTGAGATTGTGGTGAAAATTGCTACAACTAAAAACAGAAAGCCTCTATTTAGAGTCTATGGATGAGGCTTAGAAGATAGAATCTGTGGACCCTCCCCCCAATTTATATATAAAAATGTGTGGGTGTATGAAATTTTCTGGACAAAGAGGACAAGCTTACATGAGATTCTCAAATGTATTTTCTCCAATGGACTCGGTGAAAGCGAAGAACTATAACAGCTATAAAATTAGGCCAAGTTTTCTCCACCTTGACACTATTGATTGCTATTGTGGGCTGGATAATTCTTTGTTTTAGGGGCTGTTCTGTGCATAATAGGATGTTTAGCAGTATCCCTGGCCTCTGCCCACTAGCTGTCAGTATCAGGCATGTCGGTGAGCGTGCACACGCATACACACACACAGTTATGACAACAAAAAAGTCTCCAAACATTGCCACATGTCCCGTGGGGGGAAAAATGGCCCTCTATTGAGAACCACTACGTTAGGTGATTGCATAACCTGATTGGTTGTTTTTCTGACTGTTACCTTATTCTATTTTAACAAGTAAAATCTGAAAAGACCCCAAACAAACCAAATATATAACTTATTAAAGTCTGGGTGACATTTATATACCTGAAATAACTAACGTCACACGAAGGCAGCAAGATTATTTTAAAATCCACGTCTATCATGTTAATAATGGCATAATTATCCCCGGTTTTGACTAGAATGAAACCTTACTAAGGAGTGAGCAAAACGGAAGTACTGCATTTTCTCTGCCTTTTAACTTATGAATGACTTCATTTGTCAGTCAAGAAGAAGTAGAAAATGAGCATATTTGGGGACTTTGCTTCTCTTTCATGAGGCTTTTAAGATAATTAGCTCAATAATTGAGTCACTGATCCAGAAGGTAGATAAAATATGCCTATAGAATTTATCAGGGAGCCAGATGGACTGCCAGGCTGGAAGCTTAACAAAATGTGCCCAGATGTGTTTATACTGAAAGCCTCTCAACATTAGGGAGTCCCTGTTCAGAAGTAAACAGCCAAGTAACTCACTGCCCTGTAGTCTAGGGACAGATAGCTGATAAGATTCCCCAGCACACAGTGATGGGGAGTCCATTTTGAAGCCGGTGCTGTGAGCCTTTGCGTTGCATAAGAAACCAACACAACACATGCCCCAGCGTGGAAAACCTGCTTCGACAGTGTGATTCCAATTGATCCGTAGGTCCAGGATCACTTAATGAAATCCTGATCCCTTTCCTTCATGTTCCACTTCTTAACGGAATTCTCTCAGCCTGGTACTGAGCTCACCTGTTTAGTGCAGAATGATAAGAATACTACTAACAGCTATCACTTGCTGTGTGCTAGATACCATGTCAGACATGTCACCATCATTATGGCCCCCATGAAATAGGTCTTAGGGTCCTCATTTAACAATTGAATGAACAAGCGAATAAGAGACAAAGCAAGAGACAATGACAGGATTCAAACTTCTGTCTATCTGACTCTACAGCCTGATTTCCTCCCAATTCCAATAATGATATGTCAGCATTGACTGAGAACTTGCCATGTTAAGTGTTTCACATGTTATCTCATTTAATCCTTACAAAGATAATATGCATTATTATTGTGATTATTATCCCCATTTTACAAATAACAAACAAGATTAAGAACTCTCCCAAGGCCACTTAGCTATCTTTCTTTGCCTTTTTTTTTTTTTAAATGGTCAGGAAAGCTGTTATTTTATTTTTTGTAATTATTTTTACTTTTTGTGCGTGTGTGGTTTTTTTTTTTTTTTTACCATGTAGCTATTTTTACTAGCAAAATCAAGATAAAAAGCCATGTCGTCTGACCCCTGAGAACACATGCCTAACCACTGCAGTATATACTTTCCTGTCTAGAACACAACTGAAAGATATTTACAAAATAGAACACAATCAGCTCTCTTAATAGTAAACCAACTGGACAATTTAGCTTTAAAAACAGAGGAAGCCAGCCCCAGTTCTCACTAATAATGCTCTGTTTCTGTATTCCACTCTATTATATTTCGGTATTTGTATAAAAACTGAGACCTCTTTGGAATATATGAAGCTGAGTGTTTGGGAAGAATGTTTCTTCTCTTTGATTGTTTTGACCCTTTGCATTGATATCATGATCAATCTGAACAAAAACAATCCCGAGAAATTTAATTAGAATAGTTTCTCTATTTGCTGGCTGAGTTTCCTTAGGTCAAACCAGCTTCCAAATCTCATGAGTACACACTTTCCTCTCCCCATCCATCTTTCAATCAATGTAAATAAACATAAAATGAAGGGCCCGTGTGTGCTTTCTCATTGTTAGAACTTTTTGTAAATTAATGAAGAAAGAATTTTACAAAATAAAAAAGAAAGAAAGAGGATGAGAAAGAGACCCACATTTTCTATAAAACTGTTTCGACACAGCTGGCTTGCTCACTTTAAGGGAGTTCTGAGACCACTAAACTGTGGAAGGAATAACTAATTAACTAGCATATAATTTTAAGGACAGTTTAAAAATATGAATGAATGTCAAATTTTGAGATATTTCTATTTAGTTTCAAAGTCATATAGTACTTCTGTGATGAATGTTAAAGTTGCCTTAAAACTTGATTAATTGGCCTAAAGTATATTGAGACCCCCAGTGCCCTAAGGCATACAGGAAGACTATAACGTTTGAATACCAATAACAAGAACCATATAATGTCCTCTTTTAAAATAAAATGTTAAAGTTAATTTGAAGTCTTCATTGTCATTGGTAAAATTAACGCGACTTTCCTTGTGGATGGACATCCCTTCAGGAAGTGTGACATCCAAGAGAAAGTCTTTTGTAGTAGATATTTTGATGCAAGATAGAAACCAGTCTCCAACTAGCTTAAGCCTAGGGGGATGTACTGACTTGTAGGAAGGCCTGATGGAACTGGACTTGGGGCCTGCTCCAAGCAGGGAACCAACCACTGTCAGGATTTGCTCTCTTTGTCTTGCATATCTGCTTCATTTACTCTGAGCAGTTTCAATAGTGGAGGACTCAGCCTCAGACAACCTGAATTTTTATCATTAAAGAGAGGAAAAGAAAACTTCTCTCTCCCAGCTTAAATAAAAACCAAAAGAAAACAGGACACTGGTTGGCCTGTCTTGTGTCATCTGCCTACCTCCCCATCTCTCCTGCCAGGAGGCAGAGAACCATGATTAACCTAGCCTGGGAAACACACCTACCTTGTGGCCAAAATAGGTAGAAACTGTTTCTAAAAGAGAGAGGTAATAGGTTCTGGCCAGGCAAAAATCAATAGGTACTGCATCCTCATCTATTTTGGATGATAAAAGGAGGGCAATTTGGCATATGAGAAACAGATCCCAAATAATATATATCATGGAAACAAACAAGGAAGAAAGGAATAAAGAGGAAGAAGAGATAACATTGTATTAGAGTGCAGCCTGGAGGATCTTATAAACATGTCAAGATGTAAATCCATCATTTCAGCAGCAGGTACAGGTATGGGTCATTAGGCTACATGTCACTAATGCCCAGAAAAACACCCTCCATAGCCAATAGGAGACCCTGCAGGAGAAAGAGCACTTCTCTGAGAGACTGGTTGATGGTAGAACATCATGGGGTGGGGTGGGGCTACAGGAATAAGACAGAATGTGATGGATATTTGGTTTGTCCTAGCTTTGTTTACAAGCAGTTATTTTCTTGAGCTTTCCAACTTTTCATTAGCCTTCCAGAACTACAACATTGCAGTCATTCTTGGAATAGTTCAACTATCCCAATTCCAATTTCACTAAGAAGAAAGAGACCCAAAGAGGGCACTTTGCCTCCCCCAGGAGCATAGAAAAAGTTAGTACTGGGTTCTCCAAGCCTCTGTGTTATAGGACTCCCATACCTAGAATGGACTAGGTCCCACAGACAGCAAAGAAAATGAAGAGGCTCCATTGTGCATGCACTTGTTTAAAAAAAATATATTTTTTTTAGTTACTGATAAGATTTTGTGGACGTTGGCTTCAGTAGACTTAAGCGTCCTCTTATTTGGACATGACTCCCTGTCTAAACATCCCTTATTAGCAGAAAGTGGATCTCCTCCAAAGGTTTCCATCAATGTTGGCGTTCATAAGTACACTCACTCATACAGGTTTTCTTCTGTTTCTCTCTCTGCTTCCCCACCCTTCCAGATGATAGACATGATGTACTTTGTCATCATTATGCTGGTGGTGCTGATGAGCTTTGGGGTCGCCAGGCAAGCCATCCTTTTTCCCAACGAGGAGCCATCATGGAAACTGGCCAAGAACATCTTCTATATGCCCTATTGGATGATTTATGGGGAAGTGTTTGCAGACCAGATAGACCGTAAGCAAGTTTATGATTCTCATACACCAAAGTCAGGTATTTAAATTCAATTGGGTTGTGTCTTTTCTGAGTTCATTTGTTTGTTCTCAATAAATGGCTCAAGATAGAGGACCAATTCCTAGCTTCCTATTTTGGAGGAAAAAAACACAAAAAACTAAAAACAACAATTACAGAAGGTGAATATACAATTTTAGCAAAGCAGTCCTCGGGTGTTTCTTTAGGTACATAGTGTTCTGTGATACAAATCAACATCTGGCATGCCAAATTGGATCAAAAAAATGAACCATTTAAAAAGATCTAAATTCTTTTGTGATTCGAAGTCCCAGGGCCATGTGTTGAATATTTCAGTATCAGGGTATGTCACTGTTCGCCCCCTCCACCAACCACCAGCCTTTAGAAAATAAATTTCTCGAGTTTGACTTTGGAACAAATAAACAATTCTCAATTTTGCCATCAGAATTCAAGAGTAAGGGCAAACATCTGCATGGTGTTTTCCTTGCACTGGAAACTATTCTCTAACTCCCTTTCCCACTGTCTTAAATTATGTGCCATTGAGACTCATAAGAAGCCAGTATTCACTGCCTGGAAGTATGGAAAATGCCTTAGGTCACAAACTGAGTTGCTTGCTATACATGCCAGAAAAAAAAATAATATCTATATTATGCAGTGATTCCATGTGGGGAGTGAGCGCCAGCAGGCCCCCAGTGTTTCATGCCCTAATAGATGCTGATTCTCTGTAATAAAAACTCCTCTTGCATGGAGTTTGAAGATAGTTATATCCTAGGAGTCTGTTCCAGGATTTTATTTGGACCAAATGTCAGGACGCACCAGACATTGGGAAATTTAGGGGGGAAGAAAGCATCTTTAAAGAAACATCTTCCAGTGTGGAGGAGTTGAATCCCAGCAGCAGCAACTCCTGCTCGTTTTCCCTGAGGAGTTTATCTCTGGAAATAACATCCCTCCAACATTGTTGAATTAACATTTTTGAGACATTTTTTTCGCTGACAGGCCAGCCATCTGAGCCCCGGACTGTGGGCCTGGATTAGGGTTACATAACCAGGTAAATAGCCACAAAGAACAGGAGCAGAGACTAGACTGGCAGCTTCGCCACCCCCAGCCCCTCCCACCCCAGGTGGGACTGAGACCAAGAAGAGAAGGACAAGGCACCCAAGACTCTGAGTCCTCCGAGTCTAGGAAGAGCATGTGTACACACTGGCAGCAGAACACACCAGTACATAGTCTTTTCTTCCATGATGGATTTTGAACAAATACCCTTTCCTTCTCAAAATGCGTTATCTCAGGCAAGCAAGACGTTTTGGAACACCTAATTGGAACAAAATATTTGTTTCATGAGACTTAGCCAACTCACTGAGAAAGAATTTTAACTCTGTCTCCCGGTTGTGATGTCTTTGGTTAACAATGTGCAGCCTTCCCCAAGACAGCTCTGCAGGGACTCAGGGAAGTCCTCTTGAGAGCGTCCTTTCAAACAGTCCCCAGAGGCAAAACAACACCTGAAAAGCCTACCTGTGATCATTCTCCTCAGAGAGTCCATGTGCTGTCCCACCCCCCCCCAAGAAATTGTTTTGACACTTAGTTACATTGTTTTGCCTTTTCTAGTTTTCCTTTCTTCCCCAAAATGAGATGAAGTCCCCATGGGTGTTTTGACAATGCAACATTTGGGGATGGGAGAAGGAGGGAGGTGTAGCTGTGCTTCATTAAGTGGGATTCTGTCTGTCCCTCTACAAGTGGCCATTTATTGATGTTGTACTACGAACCCAGCCTAGTGCAACAAACACCACCATCTGGCTGAACAAGAGGATTTATTATTGTTATTTTAAAAGAAGGGCTGATTGTAGTTTAGAACTTGAAAACCCCCTGGAGATGGAAGAGAGGTGTATTGTGTGAATGAAATATGGAAATAGATTCCCCACATTGTTAATTAGATCTGTGGTGCTCTACGTGTGTGAGAATAAATTTCTACTCCAAGTCCCAGTATATAACTGACCCAGCCTTGGATAGACGCAACCTTCCCGGTGCCCTTTCCCCAACCACTTACCTTCCTTTTCGATATTCTGAAATTGGCTGCAGTGGTAGCCACTGTTCTAAGCTAAATCAGCCAGTTTTCTGTGTAGAGTGCTAATGAGTATTTGTCCTTTCTCAAATGGGCATAGAAGGCTGCCCCCACATCTGTCATTCCATTTGGCCAGTGCCATTGAACACCCCTGCCCTCTCAATGATTTGATATTCAAGTTATGGCACTGGCTGGGCCCAGTGAGGATCGGGCCACTGCCCTACCTGATGGTTCAGAAATGCCCTGAAGACCCAAGTTTCAAGCCCTTTGAGAAAGGTACAGATCATTTCTGCTGCCCTATGATGTCTTGCCTCTTTCCTGTGCCGTGACCAGGTTGGTTTGTGCAGCATGTATTCAGGCTGATCGGATTGCTCACAACTGCCTGGGCCCACAGCCCCGTGCGGGGCCCGCCAGTCCCATCCTGTCCATGTGGCCCACACTGACCTTCCCAAGCGCTGCTCATTCAAACACTTTCTCAGCGCAACTCATTTCTAACGTAATGCACGCGCTCCATCTCCGACCCTTTTTGTTTTTTACTCCAAAATCGCTGAACTCATTTCATGTTTGGGGAAATAATCTCTTTCTTGATTGGGATGGATGTATGTGAATGCACAATAGGGCGCTCGGAGTGGGTTATTAACGTCAATCTTACAGCTCAGAAGGGAGGACAGCTTTAATGCCCTCACTTCTGGGAGGCGATGTTACCCAACTACAGATGTTTTATATACGTTCCATCTTTCTTCCTGTCCTTTGTCCTAAGCACAGAGACCGAAGATCAGTAAGATCAATAAAGCCTAAGACACTAGAATGAGCCCGGTAAGGTTACTTTCCAAATGTGCTTAAAAACTAAAATCAAAAGGAAAAAAGTGGAATCACTGTGAAATCACAAAATAACTTGGATGCTTTTCACCTCTAAGCTGTGTTGGACTGACACAAATGATAGTTCAGCCTTAATCTAAATTACCTGTGGAAGCTAGAATATTTGCCTTGGGGTTGGAAGCCGAGGCAAGAACGTGATTGGCAGCAGAAGATGATGAAATTGGGATTGGGGGGAAGGGACAGTGATGCTTTCTGCTCTACCCTGGAAACTTTGCCTACCAGCCACCCTGATGTCATTCCTGAGAATTGAACTTGCTGTTCTTGTTTGGTTGGCTTCTTTTGGTTTGGTTTTGTGTTTTCAAATAGCCAAAACGTGTCTTCAGGAGTTTGTTATCTATAATACTAGCTCTGTAAGACCCACCTAAGGGCTGCCATGAAGTGACTTGGGCTCCAGGCTGTTAAATGCATTGCTACCAAATGATGTCATCCTTTTGGGCAGTCTCATTCGGGTGCTCCATGTTGTATGGCTTCTGAGAGCTGGTCAGGGTCCCACGGGAGCTTGAGGGGGAAAAGCCACTGAGAGGAGAAGAGCCACATAATACATTTCCAGCCCAGCAGTGTTCATGCCAAGGCTGAGCAAAACTAAAATGAGGTGGCCTCTTGCCAGCTTAGAAATCTGGTTCTACGTCCTGGTGTGTGTGTGAGGTGCCTAAGAAGTGCACCTTTGTTGGCAGAGAAAATGGGGTGTCTCTGACTTTCTCTGGCCCCTGAATGAATGCAATTTCATTTATTTACAGGGCATCCATGTGTTGCCTGGTGTATATTCAGACTCCCCAGGCTGCACCAGGGCAGGGGGAAAATGAATCATACTCTTGAATGCATTAAATAAGGGTCTAAATTTAGCTCTTCTTTCTGCCTCTCTGAGTATTTTTACAAGTTTGGATAGTAATGTGAAAGCAGAATGTCCAAAACTTACTTTCTACCGTGACAACTTAGTATTATCTGGCTCTTCCAGTCACTCCAAATTAACTATCCAATCTACTTAGTACATGGGTCAGGTTTTCTTTTTTTTTTTCTTATTGCCCAGGGCTTTTCCATCTGGAATTAATAGGTAGTCTGGGCTAAGAGGGGTTTTTTGTTTTGTTTTTGCTTCATTTATTTATTTATGTATATATATAGCACAAAGGTTTGGTGTGGGAAAAAAAATCCTGGCTCTTTTGTGTCCATGTTGTCTCTGTGATATTGACTGGATTTAAAGTGGTGTGTTTGTCAGGAAGCAAGTATATGCATGTGAAGCAAAAATAGTCTCCTGAATTACTTTTCTGCCTCGAATTAATTGTTCCTCCCTTCAGGTGTGGCAGTCAGGCCAGCGTAAGGAGCCAGTCTCTGGAATATGCCTGCTTATTTCAGCACGCACTCTTTAGACCAGCATGCACAGAGAAGATGGCTATTGTTTGTTATGCATTTCACTCGTTAGACCCCAGTTCCCAAAACTCAGGCCTGTGCATCTGTTTAGTATTCTGGACTGACCTTCCCTAATAGATTCAGAGCACACGAATGCCTACCAGCTATACAGCACAGGGAGTGCTGCCTGACCAAAGTACTCCGGAAAAGAAAAACTTGAGCCGGTGCCAACTTTTGGGAAAGGGGGAATTGTTTAGTCGGGTTTTGTTTTCACAAATTGCTAAGGAAGCAAGCCAATAAGAGGCGCCATCCCCATTTTCTGTCCCTAAAAGTCAGCTCGCATCATGGAGAATACCCACCTGACTTGTTTACTAATGCAAACTGAGGCTTAATGGAGTTGGGAATAACAGAGCTATGTGCAGATGCCTTTGCGTCCATGTGGTATGATGTTGTGATCAACATTTGTGCCACTGTCATGACATTTATTTAGCATTTCTCACAGGCTGGACTTCATTTTGAATTCTTTCTTGCTTCATTCAGCGGATGTGTATTTTGTTGTTTTTCTGAGATGGAAACTGAGGCACAGAGATGCCCATGACAGAGACATTGTTTTCAAAGAGCTTACAGTGTAGGAGAGGCAAACTGACATTGACAATGTATGTGTAGAGATGGAACCCAAAGAAGAAGGTAGTGAGTTCTACCTGGGGTGAGGCAGGAGTACAATGGATGAGGCCTTGCAAAG